TGGGTACCGACCAGACTCCGGGCGCGCCCCGACCACGACACCTGGCCCGACACCGGGCCCGCAGGTAACCCCTGACTATATTGAAGTCCAGTCGCCGGGCAGATAGAATTTCGTGCAATGACCCATCCTTATCGCTCACGCGTAATTATATTGCTGTCGCGCTCGCACACACTGGGCCGTGCAGTGATGATGAAATCCCTTCATCAATGAAGAAATTAAAATATTTTTTTCTATTAATAAACTTGTTTCTATTGATAAATCATTATATTTGTGATAGATTAATGAAAATATCTCTACAAATAAAGAAGTTACAGGCCCCTAAAGATGCATCGTCCCAGGAACACAATGAATCGCCCCAGATCCAGTGCTGTTGACAGATAAAATTTTTATAAATCTAGTAGTGTATAATTTTTCAGACATTTCACTCAAGATTTTTTTCTTAGTAAAATTGTGTAAAACATCTAAGACCTGGCCAAAATAAATATAAATCTGATACAAAAAGAAGAAGAAGACTGTCATTTTAGTGTCATTCTCGACAATGCACCAGGGATGGTAAGCATTATAGTTGAAACTTGAACGTGGCGTGACGTTACAGCACCGCCTAGGTTTGAGTACCCTGCGAAAATATTATTTATTTTGTTTATTTCTCACCACATACAATACATATAAAACAATAAGAATATTATTGACAATCAAGAAATTGTGGCAGGTTAATACCTGAATTAGGAAAATTCCTGTTGCTCAGGAAAATTGTAGGTAATTTAAATAAATGTGATAGGAAACTTCTCCATTACTGTCAAAGTATTGCAATTATTTCATAAATAATTATTGAATTTGTAATGTTTGCAGGCAACAACTTGGGCGACACTTTCCCCGCCACAGAAGACTGGGACAACGAGGAGTGGGCTGGATCCATAGATAGCAAGGTACCAGTTATCTCCTTTTGTAGCAACAGAATTAATATCTTTTTAACAACTTTAACATAAAATATACTAGAAACGATAAGTGATATCACTCGATTATTTCTAAACTATACAAGATATCAAAAACCTAGTCACTGATCCTGAAAGTGCTTCATGAGCTGAAAACATTGAATTTTCAGATAGATCCACTTTATTCTGTAACTTATCATTGATACCGTTTGAAAGAGCTCGTGAAGCACTTTCAGGATCAGTAACAAGTTATCTTGTATAATTAAGAAATAATCGAGTGAGATCACTTATCGTTTTTACCCTGTATTTGAAAAATATGTGAAAACCGAGTTGACATTTGACGCTATTTCCACAATTTATAGCGTGTCCCAATACAATGATCACTTTAGTCGCACCCTGTATATTGTTCTGTTAAGGAAGCCTTTCGAAGCGAGCGTCTATAGCATCAGTGGCGCCGCGATTGTGACGTCGTGATAGAGCGACAAATAGATGTTCTATGCAAATATATGAAATTCTAGGGAACGACCTTTGAACGCAGCGACACTGACGCGGCGTTTGTGACGTCACAGTGCCGCGGTAACCGCGTTGTCAGACGCCCGCGTCAGTCGCTCGGCCGCGCTTGCGTTTTCGTCCTTCCAAAATAACAATTAATAATCTTTCTCAATTAACCTAAACAAGAATTTCAAATAGTTATTACGAGTAAATTTGTAAAAAAAATATTACATTAATAAGGGCTATCGTTTTAGCGCTCACCAGTTAGCGCCACTGTAGAGTAAGGTCCTGTCACTTGCTAGTAGCGAAGACAGTGGCACCAACTTGTGAGCGCTAAAGTGGTAGGAGGACTATCGCATTTGCACTCATCAAGATGGCGCCACTGTAGAGTAAGGTCCTGTCAATCGTCAGGGGTGCCAACTGTTAAGTATAAAAACGATAGCCCTCATTGCTTAATTCGCGCGGCAAGTGTGATTCGACTGTGCGTCTGTCGTGGGTATCCAAAGTCACTAGAGCGTCACTGTCGCGTCGTTAGTGACGCGGCGTCGTTGGCACTAAGGCGGTTATCACACTGCGCCGCGCTCCGCCGCGGAGCGCGGGGCGACAGATTTAATAATTTTATGCAAGTACCTCAGTTTGTATAGAAAACACGCGCGGCACTTCACACTGACAACGCGTCCGCGCGCGTGATTNAAGCATAGTTACCTATAAATAAAATTATAATAAAAAATAACTTTTTTAAAAACAAGCTTTTATTCTGAAATGCAGTTGTACACACACCAACTCGCTAGAGAAATAGTGGAACAAACCCACAAGACCACCACAAGACTGAAAAGATGGCAAATATTACAGTTGGACCAAAATGCTAGTGGCTTGGACTGAATATTGGAAGGCTGGACTAGATTGCTACGTGAATGAGTGAAGACCAAGGGAGAGAATTTACTGAAATACCCCTCCTCATGAACACAAACAAAAAAGCAAGACAAAACATCTGATTATGACCCAAGTCGATTGCAGATATAAAAAGGAAAAAAAATGCATTTGTACTAAAACGACAAATATAATTCTATGCAAGGTTCAAATAATTTTGAAAGCTTGTAGCGCAAAAATATAAATTCCATGCGGGATTTTATTTTACACTTTTTAGTTGTATCTAAATCTCTGGGCCCTCGTCATCATTAAGCACCAAAGTGCTCAGGAAGTCACATCCAACGAACCCAAACATGATAAGTTTCCGCCATTTCGTTTAGGGAGTTCCTATGACCACCTCCTGACTCCCATCATCAGGACCCTGGACATTATCTAGCAATAAACTGCTCGAAAAGACAAATCCAATGAATCCAAATTCGATGCGATTTTGCTGTTTCGTTTAGGAGTTCCTATGGCCAACTCCTGACTCCATCATCAGTCCAGCTCAATGGTACCATAACATTGTATTGTCATTGTACTTGTTACATAAGTATACCAAATTTCAGCTTAATCGGTTGAGGAAAACTGGTCTTAAATACCTACAGTTGCAACATTTGTCGCACACATACTAACAAGTGAAGTGAATATAAAGCTTGTAATAATAATTTAGATGATCTTGGTCAATATTACTTTTGACTGATTTTTCCAGTCAAAAGTGGTTTTGACCAAGAGCTTTTAGTCAAAATCACTTTTGATAAAATCACAATCAAACAATTTTAAAGTATAATGTTTAAATGTGTAATATTTATTGCAAACGTTGTGATAGGGATAGAGATATGAGATTTTTTATATTACAAAGGTAATACGATAGTGAGTAACACAAAGTAATAAAAACCACCTGTTCTAAGGGCATTTATTAGAGAAATTTTTCAAATAACCAAAAAAAAACACGATTTAAAATGCCGATTTTTCTCAAAATGTAACATTTTTTATTATTTTTTGCCATTTTCTGGGTATTTTGTGTATTGTTTTAGTATTGCCTGTTATTTAGCATTATTTCTGTTTTTATTTTATCAGGATATACCTCTTAGTTTAAAAGTTATTACGTTTTCTTTACAGTAAGTACCTAATTGAAAGAAAAAAAAATCTAAAATAAAAAATTTATAAAAATCTCAAATATTTTTTGACCCTTTTTCTGTCGATAAAAATGGGTCTACTTTCACCTATTTTCATGTGTGCACTTTATCAAGACTCACACTGTATAATATTAGAAAGCCAAATAGTTTGTTTGTTTACTTGAACTGCTGGTTATTTTTGTATTGTCGCGGATTTACACTATGCGGAAATTAGCCAAGACTTGGCTAATTTCCGTGCAGTGTAAAAGCAGCATTGAATAGCCCATTTATCAAGGAAGACTAGGCTATTAAAAAAACAATAGGGACGAAGCATTAAAAAAAATGTTACCTAAACGGGAAAAATTATTCAAACCTTAGATTAGATTCAAACTGTGACTACGAGCTACGAAGTCGCGGGCAAAGCTAGTATTATGATATTATTACAATTTATTATGATAAATTGTACCTAACAACACTAGTATTATATCTCATTCCAAAATTCCCAAATGTAGTCAACTTTGGCTCTATGTGGTGCCTTGGTAATGACGGTTACCGGTAAGAAACACAAAGCAGTAATTTAAAAACTTAGATTAATAAAAGAAATTAACTTACACTACATCCATCGTTGAGTCAGTCATATTTTGTAAGTTTGAACAGGTTATAAGATTATCAAATGTACCCCAAAATTGTTCACAACGTAGTTTTCATTAAATTGTAAAGTAGTTACTTTGGAAAAATTGTTGATTGAAGACACAGATGAGACAGATTGAAGATTTCAATTTGAAATCCAACGATTTCAATTTGAAATCCAACTCCACAGATATGGATCCAACTCCAAACTCCAACAAAATGAATGACAATGACAACAAGACAAGACCAAAGACCACAGACACAGTAGATAAATCAAACAGTACGGAAGCTTAATACAAACAATCCAGACACGCTTCTCGATTTTGCGATACGATTGGTCGTTCAACAGCGTACGTCAGCTGTTTTGACCAATCGTATCGCAGAATCAGAAACGCGTCTGGATTGTAGACGTTATAAAAGTTACCGTAATCGGGGCTCAGACTCACGCACACAGACACACGCTTTACACGAGCTAGGCATGGAAATGATTGCTATTTTTCGTTCATTTTCATTTCATGAAATGATGATTTTTATTCATGTGATTTCACATGTGAAATTTCACAGGCAATGATTTTTATTCGCAGTGTTAAAATTTAGCAATTTCATATAATGTGCTACTTTTAATTAAGTATGAATTATGATGAACGATTGCTAATTAGCTANTAGACTATAGCGGGTTACAGTCTGCTCCATGCCGCTGCTCAGTCAGCTCTGCTGATAAGAGAAGTATCTAAAGCGGCCTTCCAAAGAATGGGCCCGGGTTGGGTTACGGGTTGCCCGACAGGCACACCGAGTAGACGAGACCTGCCGCGCAGGTGAGAAGTTAGCCGCCCGAGTGAACAGACCACGCGGACGTTGCCCAGGGTGCACCACGAGGAGGTCCCTCATCATCGCACCCCAACCATTATCATCTAGCGCAGCCTTTCCCGATGTGGGCGATAACGCCCCCTTGTGGGCATCAATAGGTACGGTCTTTCTATTTCACACACAAACGGCACGTCTCAGCTGTGTCTTTCTAGCAGAGTAGAATAAGACCATCTTCATTCCTTCCATGGATGTTGTAAGAGGCGACTAAAGCCGTTTTCTGACTTGTCTTTCACGACATCAGCACGCTCGGTATATGATAATAAATTTAAATCCAAATCGTTGCAGGCAACAACTTGGGCGACACGTTCCCCGCCACAGAAGACTGGGACAACGAGGAGTGGGCTGGATCCATAGATAGCAAGGTACCAGTCTTCTCTTTTTGTAACAACAGAAACATTAGTATCTTTTTCAACAACTTTAACATAAAATATACGTGGAAACCAATTTGACACTTGACGCTATTTGCAAAATTAAGGCTTGGCGCAAATGGGCCACCGACCACATTGTGTCCGCGACTCGCCACTAGTGGTCACTACGCGCCACCCAAAGCTGACACCCGCCACTGTCGCACTGCTCCACCCCCCGCTAAAGATGGGTTGGATTAGTAAAATCAGTACCTAATCCAAATACCTATTCCGTCTTAATTTAATCCATCTTCAGACTGCGCAGCAACGAGCGGGTTATAAGATGTGGCGGCTTGCAGACACCGGTGGCTGTCGCTCGCTTCTAACACTAAGGCCCGATTCGACCGAACTTTTATCCGAGAATAACTCCTTGTATAATAGTCACATTGACAGTTTCAGGAAATATGTCACTGAAGATTTATTCCGAGATTAATATTAACTCTTGTTTGGTCGAATCCACTCTTAGAAATGTGGCGGTAGCGCGTGATAACCACCGTTGGCTGTGAACAATCGGTGGACCATTTGCGCCGAGCCTTATAGCGTCTTCCAATACTCTGATCACTTTAGCCGCACCCTGTATACAGGGTGGAATTTTGTAATGCCACCTGGAGGGAAAGTACTCTTAATACTGTAGATACAAAATTTGATTGAAAGAAAGAAAATATTTTTTTATTTTTTAAAAGTAAGTACTGCATTCAAAGTTTTTCGAAAATTCACTAACATACCTTACAATTTTCTGTACATAATTAAAATAATTTAAGATTTCATGGTTTTTCTTTCATTTGATTTATCAACTTTGTTAGAGAGATTTCATCCNACCACAATAGTCGAGCGACGGTGGGGATCGAACCCTCGTTGATGAGTGTGAACTTTTAAAGTTTTCTGACTGGAAAACTATAGACTTCTTATTATTCGCCATGTTTTAATACACCGATGGTGTCGGCAGGAGGATTGGGACACGCCGGAGACCAACGGGCCGACGGAGAGCCATATTGGCACCTACACCTACCACAACACTCATCACCACCACTCGCTCATTGACGTAAGTACACGGGAGTGACGAGGGCAGTAGAGGGCACAGATGCTCGCCTTGGAAATTGTACGCTTTTAACACCCGTATTCACAAAAAATGCTTGGTTAAGTGAAGCAGCAACGCTATGTGAAGTCGAACGTACAACATTGAATAGAGCTTTGTGATTGGTACGTGTCTGTCTTAGGTATTGTCTATGAATAGGTTTTTGAGACCCTGTGCCCTCCACGCGCACTGTGAGACCTCATAGTAATGTTTGTGACTACGGGTTTATATGTATTTGCGCTATTTTTCGTCCATTCGTATGTTAGCGTCAGACTCTGCCTTAAATCGTTGGTTGTTTCGGCAATGTTTTCCTCCCTTTAGCTTAACACTGCTCGATGCTCGAATTCGATTGGCACTATTTCCATCTCTCTTTTCCAAATTTCTTTGTAGCCAGGATCTACAGCTTGATCGCCAATAAAAACCAGAAAAATAGTTAATGCAATATCTTGGGGGAAGTCAAATTGATTGGACCTGCAACGAAATTGAATCGATTGACATTTTCAATTTGTTACTGCTTTTTTTCCATTTGGCTTTACATGGCACCATTAGTCGTGGCGGCATACTTAATAGTGTTGTACATCCACAGCAACAGCCGGCGGCGGCGGCGGCGGGAGTAACAGCCGGCGTGGCGGCGGCCAGCCGCGTGTCGCCCGCCGAGCCCGCGCCGGAGCCCGCGCCGACGCACGCGCCGCACGACGCCTACCACCATCACCAGGTACGGGACTATTCCCACCACTGCAACTCCTGTGTAGCCAGGATCTACAGCTTGACCGCCACAAAAACCCAACCAATGAAGGTCAAGTTTGTCGCGGGGGAAAGTTAAACTGTCATTGGACCCGCAACGAAATTAATCAGAAGAACATAGGAGGAGTTCGAAATTAAGGTTCGACTTCCCTCCATTGCAAAGCGGATGACAGGTGACAAACAAAGGTTTAAAACCTTTAAGAAAAAGATTATCATCATCACCAGGTAAGGAGATATGTTTTAAACTGTGCCGGTATACACAATACCTTTTTTTTTTTCTGGCACGCACGGCTTGTGCATTTGCCAATGACGAGGTGTAAAGGTTGGGAAACGGATTTTATAGGAATATACCCGGGAAGTGAGAAAATTTTGAAGGATCAGGCAGGAATGGTGTTATTGTTTACAGGATAATAATACTTAATAACTAATCATATTACTATGTACTACACAATACTTACACATCTGCATGTCTTATCTTGATCACGTTCACAGTGTCAGCACATTTATCACGTATAGTGTTGATGCTGTGACATCATTTACCTTTAATGTATATCTATAAAATTACGTTAAAAAACAGACTAATATCAGAGACTAACAACAACTCGCGCCTCATTCATACGGTCTCCTAACACGGCACAATCCTATATGCTTTTATTGTCATATCATTTCTTTACGATATTGTATCGGAACTGAGGAGATTCGCACGGCCAGAGGCCTAGGAGGCGCGCCGCGATAAGCGTTTATCGTGCCATTATACCGATTTATTATCGATAAACATTTTGACGACTAAAATCATCGATAAGAATTTATCACGGCGCGCATCCTACAGTCCTATCAACTTAAGCTGAGAATTGCATTTGTGTGAGTGATCGCCAAAAGTACCGTTAGTAAAACACATACAAGTAAATAAAATTTTAATGTTTTATTAAAAGGAAGTCTATAAAACACTTGCTACCAATTGGGCCGATGTAACGACACTTGACACATCCTTTTAAATAAATAAATAAATAAAAACAGGTCCTCGCTCAGCATATGCCAAGGCACGAAGTACCTCGACGCTGATATTCTGCGAGCACCGTTTATAGAGAGGGCGTCCAGCCAGCCTTACAAAATACAACAAAAAGACAAACTTTATAAAATNTAATGTATTTGTCGAAGAGAAATACTAAGGGTTCGGACAATATTTTCATTGAATAATGTTTCCGACAAAGGTTGTCAAATTGACTGACATGTTTATCGCATGGTACAGTCCACTATGAAAATTAGCTGTAGTCTGTTTCAACTACCTATTTTAAAGTTTTTTGTCACTTTCTAAGTTTTGAATTTTATGGAATTGGGAAAGAAGTACCGAGTTTGAAGCGTTCATGAGCAGACATTACAGTTGAATATTCATGTTCTGAATTTGATTATTGATGAATAATAAAATAAATCCTACTAGCTCGATTGATGGTTTCATTTAATTTATTTAAACCAGGTTATCTTTAATAATATTTTTCGTTAATTTATGAAAATATCAAATTAGCCCGTAATCCTGAATCCTGATACATAAAGTTAGCCTATTACTTTAACACATGTACGACTGTACTCAGTGTTGCACTATCAAATGCAATTGAAGCGCCTCTGTGCCAGGGTTTTTATGTTCCTGGTCAGGCTATACTTAACCTTAACGATCGATGCAATAAAAATACAGGGTGTAATTTTTAACAGATTTTAGTTGGTTCGATTCCCGGGTTCGGCTATTTCTTTAAAAAAAAAGGAATGTTTTCTTTGAGAAAAAAATTCTATCTACAATATTAAGAGTACTTTCCCTCCAGGTGACATTACAAAATTCCACCCTGTAATTGTTCTGCTACGTGTACGCTCTGTATTAACGTGATGTTCGTTCTATTGGGGTTGGTGTTCGTTCCGAGTGCCAGCGCCGCGCCGGCCGAGCCGTCGGCCGGCCCGCCCGCCAATCCACAGCAGGTCAGTGCTTGTGTTATAATTTATTGCTGTGTAAAGTCCGGTCGCCGAGCAGATAGAACTTCGTCCAATGACCCCAAGCTACCCATCCTTATCGCTCGCGCGTAATTATATTTCTATCGTGCTCGCACACTCACTGCAGCCGCCCGTCGCAGTCGCGACAGTAATATAATTACGCGCGAGCGATAATGATGGGTAGCTTGGGGTCATTGGACGAAATTCTATCTGCTCGGCGACCGGACTTTAGTGTAGGCTTATTCAGGACATTTAAGTATTATTTTCTCTCTCGTTGTAAGCTAAATATGCGAGTGTTACGAGTGGGTGCACCACAATAGTCGAGCGACGGTGGGGATCGAACCCTCGTTGATGAGTGTGAACTTTTAAAGTTTTCTGACTGGAAAACTATAGACTTCTTATTATTCGCCATGTTTTAATACACTGATGGTGTCGGCAGGAGGATTGGGACACGCCGGAGACCAACGGGCCGACGGAGAGCCATATTGGCACCTACACCTACCACAACACTCATCACCACCACTCGCTCATTGACGTAAGTACACGGGAGTGACGAGGGCAGTAGAGGGCACAGATGCTCGCCTTGGAAATTGTACGCTTTTAACACCCGTATTCACAAAAAATGCTTGGTTAAGTGAAGCAGCAACGCTATGTGAAGTCGAACGTACAACATTGAATAGAGCTTTGTGATTGGTACGTGTCTGTCTTAGGTATTGTCTATGAATAGGTTTTTGAGACCCTGTGCCCTCCACGCGCACTGTGAGACCTCATAGTAATGTTTGTGACTACGGGTTTATATTTACGCTATTTTTCGTCCATTCGTATGTTAGCATCAGAGACTCTGCCTTAAATCGTTGGTTGTTAATGAACATGAAATTTTAGAAAAATAACAAAATTGCAAAACGTTCCACTTTTTCTCCGTCTCTGTGTTAACTTAGACACGTTTGGCCAAACAAAGTTTAAGTTAGCTTCACTTTCTCTTCAAAAAGTCTTCGGCAATGTTTTATTTATTTTATTTTATTAGGGACAACAAACAATTGCACAAACGTTGTTTTCCTCTCTTTAGCTTAACACTGCTCGATGCTCGAATTCGATTGGCACTATTTCCATCTCTTTTTTCCAAATTTCTTTATAGCCAGGATCTACAGCTTGATCGCCAATAAAAACCAGAAAAATAGTTAATGCAATATCTTGGGGGAAGTCAAATTGATTGGACCTGCAACGAAATTGAATCGATTGACATTTTCAATTTGTTACTGCTTTTTTTCCATTTGGCTTTACATGGCGCCATTAGTCGTGGCGGCATACTTAATAGTGTTGTACATCCACAGCAACAGCCGGCGGCGGCGGCGGCGGGCGTAACAGCCGGCGTGGCGGCGGCCAGCCGCGTGTCGCCCGCCGAGCCCGCGCCGGAGCCCGCGCCGAATCACGCGACGCACGACGCCTACCACCACCACCAGGTAATAAAAAATTAAAAAGATTTATTCAATTTATACGGACCGTATTCTAAACCACGTAAACGAGCTTGCAGTGGAGCTGATGAAACCGAGAGTGGTATTCTCAAGACTGAAAAAAAGAACGCCTCTAGATTTGTGTCAATAATACCTAATACGGCAAATTTCAAGCAAGACAGGGACATGTGCGAATCTGTCCTTTTATATTGACGTGGCCTTGTCACTGGAACTGGACCACAAAAGATTTATTACACATATTGCTAAATGTCCATAAAGGAGACAGATTGCATTATTTTATATGAATAAAAAAAAATTCAATTTTGATCAGTATTTTGGAAGCGTGAGACGTCCACCCACAAGGTGAAACGACGACATCATAAAGGTAGCAGGGAAGCGCTGGACGCAGGCTGCTACCAATTGATCAACATGGTAAACATTGGGGGAGGCATATGTTCAGCAGTGGATGTCTTATGGCTGAAATGATGATGTATTATGAACCAGTATTTTGACACTTCAAATGGACTTTGTGATACTAACTTTTGGTCGCGGCTTCCCATAGGTTTTGTATGGCAACGACTATTGAAAAAAATCTCGGGTACCAACTTTATAGTAGTTCGGAGCATCGCACGAGTTGCGCAGTACACAATATTAGGTGTCATTGAGGCGAAGAAATGCGTAACTGCATTCGAGCCGCCATTAAGTTTGAATCGGACTGTAGTGACCGCACATTGTAATCGAACTGTTTTAGCAAAATAGAACAACACATCGATGTCCTAAAAGGCTAAGAAAGCCGGAAATCCTCCATTTGATCTGTTTGGTAAATTAGAGAGGATCTCATGTTCTGTAGTCCTGCAGTAAATAGTAAATAAATGTTGATGTTGATAGTCACGCTCCGAAGACGTAATTTAGGCGCAGTCCTTTCCATTCGCGCTAGGATACGCGTAATGATAACATTTTAGACGACCAAATCGATAAAATGCCTCGATAAAAGTGTATCATGCCGCGCATTCTAGGCCTAAATAGGCGAACTTATGGAGTTTTTTTACATGAATAGTTTGCTCTTGAGGCTGAGGTGATTGAGTCGTCCGCCACTTCTTAGCACCAGCCCATGTGTTGTCCCGAAGTGGTGGTAGGGCAAGCTATATTTGGGACGTGTATAAGCGCCCTGGAAAGAGCCTATGTCACAGAATAAGTAATAGTACAGGTACAGAAGGATTACTCCGCAAGACGATTTAAATAAATGCGAGTCTTGCTCCGACGCGATACAGTGGAATTCAGCTCGCACAGCACTACGTACCTACAATTTTATTCACCTACAAGTTTTGTCTCTTTCTATCGCGTGCCTCTGAACTCTTCTTACGCTGTTAGGGTTGCTGTCTAGTGAAAAAAATAATTAATCTACTTATGTCATGAGGTACGTACCTCATTCATTATGGAAAACCTTGGNAGCTTAAGTTGAGAGGACTGTAGCCCGATTGAAGTCGTTGACATAGCATTATTAGCAAACTGTAGTGCGTAAAAGGCGACTAAGAAACATCAAGCTTTTTTGACCCGTCTAGCCAGTGTAGGTGTAAGCGAAATCCTCAGTTTGCCTCAAGTATATTACAAAGGGTCCCTGTCTAAATTGCTGCAGAAGTAGTGGATAGTAAATAAATGAATGACCTGATGTTGATAATCTCACCCCTGAAAACGTAATGTAGGCGCAGTCCCTTCCATTCGCGCTAGGATACGCGTAATGATAACATTTTGGACGACCAAATCGATAAAATGCCTCGATAAAAGTTTATCATGTCGCGCATTCTAGGCCTAAATAGGCGAACTTATGGAGTTTTTTTACATGAATAGTTTGCTCTTGAGGTTGACAAAGGTGATTGAGTCTTCCGCCACTTCTTAGCCCCAGCCCATGTGTTGTCCCGAAATGGTGGAAGGGCAAGCTATATTTGGGACGTGTATAAGCGCCCTGGAAAGAGCCTATGCACTGAATAATGTATTTATCTTATCTTTTTGGTAAGATAAATACATTATTGATAAGATAAATACTTTTTGTCGGCCGTTTGGTGTAGTGGTTCAGAACGGACTACTATGCCGAGAGGTCCCGGGTTCGATTCCCGGCCGGGCAGAAATTGAAATGATGAATTTTAATTTCTGTGACGGGTCTGGGTGTGACTATGTATAATATTTATGTATTTAAAAAAAAAGTATATAAGTAGTATATCCGTTAAGCTAGCACCCATAACATAAGCATTAAGTTGCTTACTTTGGGGCTAGCTGGCGCTGTGTGAAATTGTCCAAAGATGTATTATTATTATTATTTATTATTATCTTTGTCTTGCAGCAGCAGTACCCAAGCAGCATGGAGGCGAGCGCGCAGCCGATGGGCATGTCAGGCAGTCTGTCCGCCGCGCAGTCGCAGTACCTGTCCCAGCTCACGCAGCAGTCGCAGCGCCGCGACAACAGTGCGTACACTAGGGCTCATAGCAGACTTATCCACTGGGAAAGGGATCAACACCTTTCACAAGCTGATTAGACGACTAAAGCCAGTGTGCTTACCATGAGTTTACGTTAGGTGTGCTCGATAGCGACTGCGTAAAAAAATGACATTTAATTGTATGACATATTGTGCAGCGCCCCTAGCGGCTACTTTGAAGAAACAAAATCTTCATAGAGATTTTTGACGTACTCGCTAGCGAGCACACCTGACGTAAACTCATGGTAGGTACACTGGTCTGTGAGCACGTAGAATTTTGTCCAATGACCCCAAGCTACCCATCCTTATCGCTCGCGCGTAATTATATTGCTGTCGCGACTGTGCGACGCGCGCCCGCAGTGAGTGTGCGAGCGCGACAGTTGATTAGTTAGACGCGACGACAGCTGCAGACTGACAACTTCATACATTTTGTTTAAAGCTTCGCACACTTCACGTCAGAGTCGCGACGACAAGCTAATATATAAAATTGACAAGAACAGGCGTCAAGGCAACGCGTCTAAACGCTGCGACTGTTGCTCAGTGTGCGCTGTCGCTATAGATTCAGCCGTGCAACCCGCGTGCGCGATGGCGATGACGACCCATAAAGTTAATATTCCTTCGGAATAGAGCAACAACCACGTGCAACAAACGAAACCGTTTTTGGAGGACACTGGATGTCATTTTTTTTATCCACAACGAGGAAGCTCTTGGCCTGTATCTCACCTGATGGTAAGTAATGATCAGGCCGAAGGTGGAAGCGAGCTTCACAAGGAATCCTCAACCACGGAGGAACTAGCTATCTTACCTCTAACTGCCGGAATACAACAATGCTGTTAACATTGTTGTTATGGCGACAGACTTAAGTAAAATGGTGGTAGCTAGCCAGGCGGAGGCGGATTTGTGGGAGATGTGCGTTACTGGCTGCTTAAAAAAAAGCAGCCAATAACGCACAAACATGCAAAGTGGAGCGAAGCGGGAGTATGTGATTTCAGAGCGATCTTTTCATGTATGTAAAGCCTGGTCCGTGAGCACGTAGAATTTTGTCCTATGACCCCAAGCTACCCATCCTTATCGCGCGTAATTATGTTGCTGTCCCGCTCGCACACTCACTGCGGGCGCCCGTCGCATAGTCGCGACAGCAATATAATTACACGCGAGCGATAAGGATGGGTAGCTTGGGGTCATTGGACAAAATTCTACGTGCTCACGGACCAGGCTTTAGCTACATTTTTAAGTAGCAACGACCTTCCACACATCCCTAATCTTTGTGCATCTTCAGAAACATCTAGAAATTAAAATTTGTGTCTTGTACAAATCTCTATTTGTGTATAATGCTTGTCTATTTCCTTCGCAGGCGTGTACACAGCGCCTTACGGCGTGTACGGCGGAGACATGGCGGCGCAGCGCAAACCGCAGCGGGCGAGAGTGCCTCCGCCGTCGAAGGTGAATATGGATCTTATTTACAAGCTGTTATGGGTCAATATAATATTTGATTGATGTACTTTAATATTACTTCCATGTATAGCTAGCTCATTGTATATGTTCACAGAGGTCTATCTGATTTGTGGGTTTCAGGATTTTGAATTAAATATAAAAATTGTCTTTCTTTCTTTCTTTCATCTGACAAGCGAAAAGGGGTTAAATCCGAGTTGCCCTCTATAAATGTTGTTCTCATTATGATAACCCGAAGGTTAGCGCTAGGCTAGTGAGGTATTCGCGTATACTTTGGTGTTTTTTTCCATAGTCGCAATACATGACTCGGCTGTCAAATTAATGTCAACAGAATATTATCGCGATGTGTGTGGCCCAGGGGTGAGAAAAATTGGGAACTAAGAGCTCTTTCAAATTAGAGGTTATGAGCCGGACAATTGTAGTGCATTTACAGAACCGCACACGGTAAAAACAATGTATGACAACTGCGTCGGATTTGACAATTACCAATTACCAATAGTGTGCGGTTTTGCAGATAAACGTCTAATTTGAAAGAACTGAACGTCCAAGTTTCTCTCGCTTATGAAGAATGCTAATATGTTTATTTTGTAAGTTTTTGAACATCACTGTTGACTTCTTGGCGGGAATCTGAAGCGTCATGTTAGCGGTTTTGTTTTATTTCCTCAAATTCGTGTTTGGGCGATTATTAATGTGTAATAATGGTGGATTATTAACAATTAAGTGTTCGTCAACGTGCATGAGTGTGGGCAAGTGAAGCAAAACAGTCTCTCAAGTTGTCCATAGGAGGTCTCAGTAAAGCACCACAACTTTACTGAGACTCAAAGGGTGGGAAGGGGTATCATCTATCATCTTTCATTATATCATTACTTGATCTCATTTTGTAACTCGTACCACATAAATACTTGAAAATGGCACAAATCAAGTCGACCTCGACGTGGCAAAATCAAAATCAAAATTATCTTTATTTGTGTAGACTAATTAAATTAGTTCTTGCAAATCGTCAAATGCTCTTAATGAGCCTATACATGTCTCATTCTTTTTTTGCCCTACCAGCGCTTCGAGACAAACATTTGGCAAGTGCTGAGAAGAAGCGCCGCAACATACTCAGTCACCACTGTCTGCCGGTTTAAAAATATAAAAAAGTAGGAAGTTACATACATTCAGAAGCAAGTTACTTACCACGCGCTCCCGTTGATAGAAGGTGGCCTTTAAGACGCCCATCTAGCACGAGACCGCGTGGCAGTTTTGAATATATTTCTTCGTGTATTGCCAACATCATCAAAAAAAAAGAAGAAGAACATCATTTGTATTATTATTTGTATTGTATTGCTGTTGGTTTTCCGAATAAAATATAATAAATAAATAAATAATCCGTTGTTTTCAGATACCGATGTCTGCGGTGGAAATGCCGGGCGGCGGCGAGGGCGGCGCGGCGCTGTTCCTCGACGTGCAGTTCGGCGCGCTCGATCCCGACGCGCTCGACACGCAGGTAATGTACTTTGAACCTTATGGCAGCGACGTAGATCATAATATCCATTGTCTCGAATTTTGCGGCAAGATGTTTTGCGTAAAGCCTGGTCCGTGAGCACGTAGAATTTTGTCCAATGACCCCAAGCTATCTTCCTTATCGCTCGCGCGTAATTATGTTGCTGTCGCGCTCGCACACCCACTGCGGGCGCCCGCAGTGAGTAGGATGCGAGCGATAAGGATGGGTAGCTTGGAGTCATTGGACAAAATTCTACGATCTCCCGGACCAGACTATAGTAATATATCACGTGTATTTATTTTTTCGGCAAATGCGCGATACTGAACCGAAAAGCGGCGTAATGTGTATTTATTTTTTCATTAGTGATGCAATCCTACGAATATTCTACTAATATTATAAATGCGAAAGTTTGTGTGGATGGCCGGATGTTTGTTACTCTTTCACGCAAAAACTACTGATCGTTTTTTTTAAACTTTACAGTATTGTTGTTTGTAACCCAGATTAACATATAGGCTATAATTTGTGACGATCTGTGACAAACCAAATTTCACGCCGGTGTAGCCGCGTGCAAGAGCTAGTGAGTACTACTTTTACGAATACGAATATTAAATCTATTTCGTCGAATACTAATACATACATAGTACATAGTCATGAAATGCTCATTAATCCAACTCTTTATATTATGGTTATTGTTTTAGTAATTAAAATTTACAAATGACAATTTTTTGATTAATGTATCACTTTGTAACTAATCACAAAACAAAATAATATTTGTACAATCAACCTATGCAATTGACGGTCAAATTCCGGAAGATAACGATAATTAAATGAATGAATTAAATGAATGAATTTGACACCGGGCCCACAGAGTACTTTGTTACATACTGACCGGCGCTTTCCCGTCGTTTCGCTGTAGCTATAGTGTTTGGATACCTACTTTTTTAATTATTTATTCGCCGAATACGAATATTCGGTAAATGTCTACTATTCGGCAAATACGAATATTCGTATTCGTTGAATCAGTATTTTTATGTATTACCAAGGGGGAGCCAATAAAAATGCCAAAAGAATCAACGGCCCCTAAGTGCTACCTTTATTGGAACAAATCACTCATCGCTATTGAACTAAAATGGTTATGTAAAAGTTCCTATTTTTCTTCTCAGTGGACGAAAAAGGACAGCACAATATCAATAGCTGTCCACAAACCAGTTGAAAGGCATGTTAACCCAATCACAATACGGCTAGACTGATTTTAGTTTAACCAATACTTCGAAAAGAGGTTAGAGATAAGTAAATAGCGAAAGGAGATTTTTACTCAAAATTTGTGTCGTTTTACAGCAAGTGACGTCACAAGCGGAAACTCAGCCGGTGTCAAGTAGTCACGAAACAACAACGGAAGCGCCTACTACTACTAATTATCCTAATTCTAATAGTATGGTGAGTACTAAGTATAAATGGAATGGCCTTTGAAAGAACAAACGAATTTGTAGAATTTAAGTCTGACTTGAATAAACTATGCCAATAACTTGACTCAAGTCGTTGCCTTCTATTAATTAGGCGAGGAAGAGGCCCAAAGTTGTGGCTGATAAAGGAAATTGTTACTCTTCACGCGAATATTATTGTAGTATTTTATTTTTATCGATTCCATAAGTCGCTGATTCATATCCGGCTCGAAGGACCATTTATTTATTTCAAACTGTTATGCACATAAGGCGAACATAATGTCATATGTACTTGTACATCTTAATAACTGATAAACGTACACAGTACTCTTATTTAGAATAAAATTAGATTGATGAGCACCTTGTATTGTCTTGTTTCAGCAACAGTTAAGCGAGACGCTCTCGTCGGTGGTGGAATCAGCGCCAACGACGCAAGCGCCCGTCACGACAGAATCTCCAGTCACCAACGCCACCTCATGTAAGTGTTGTTATACGCTGGCTCCATACGTTGGCCTTAAATGTTGGTACCAAGTCCTAACGTCACTCGTCCAATATGTGGATCTAGAAAATAGCTTGTGCCAACGTTGATGCGAATACGATATGCTTTCACCAACGCTACGTCATATGAGTGTTGTTATACTGACTACGTTGGTCCCAACGTTGGTACTAAGTCCCAACGCCACTCGTCCAACGTCTGGATTTAAAAATAGCTTGTTAAAACGTTGGTGCGAATACGATATGCTTTCACCAACGCTACGTCATATGAGTTGTTGTTATACTGACTACGTTGGCCCCAACGTTGGTACTAAGTCCCAACGACATTCGTCCAACGTGTGGATCTAGAGAATAACTTGTCCCAAGCAACGTTGATGTGAATAACATAATAGGCTTTTCGCCCAAATTTCAATAATTAGTTAATAATATACCTTGATGCCTATTTTATACAAATGCGTNAAAAATAATTAATCTACTTATGTCATGAGGTACGTACCTCATTCATTATGGAAAACCTTGGGAGAGGCCTTTGTCCAGCAGTGGACGTCATTTGGCTGAAACGAACGAACGCATTCTGAGCAGTAGTCATGCTAGGTTAGGTTCCTATACTATCCTAAGAATTATAATTCTTAGGATAGTATAGGAATCAATAATAAATTATTGATTACCTACATGGCCAACATACCTTTCAGCATCTTTGGGAAGCGAAAAAAAAGATAAATCCGGTAGATTTCTCTTCGAATTTAAACACCCGAACGCCGCACAATATTTCTTTCTCTTTATGTCCATTTTTTTAAATAATACTTCGATCATAGAATTAGGTACTACAACGCACGCCAGCGTCCTGACGGGCGCGCGCGTGACACTCGACTGATATAATACCCGCCGGCGGGGCGCTTCGCTGTAGGTAATTATCGGATGTACCGCGCGGAGTGAGCCAGGCCTGCCTATGTACTGAATAATGTATTTATCTTATCTTTGTCTTGCAGCAGCAGTACCCAAGCAGCATGGAAGCGAGCGCGCAACCGATGGGCATGTCAGGCAGTCTGTCCGCCGCGCAGTCGCAGTACCTGTCCCAGCTCACGCAGCAGTCGCAACGCCGCGACAACAGTGCGTACACTAGGGCTCATAGCAGACTTATCAACTGGGAAAGGGATCAACACCTTATCGCCTTTCACAAGCTGATTAGACGACTAAAGCCTGGTCCGTGAGCACGTAGAATCCCGTCCAATGACCCCAAGCTGCCCATCCTTATCGCTCGCGCGTAATTATGTTGCTGTCGCGCTCGCACACTCACTGCGGGCGCGCGTCGCACAGTCGCGACAGCAATATAATTACGCGCGAGCGGTAAGGATGGGTAGCTTGGGGTCATTGGACGGGATTCTACGTGCTCACGGACCAGGCTTTAGACGCGACGACAGCTGCAGGCTGACAACTTCATACATTTTGTTCAATGCTTCGCACACTACACGTTAGAATCGCGACGACAAGCTAATATATGAAATTGACAAGAACAAGCGTCAAGTCAACGCGTCTAAACGCTGCGACTGTAGCCCAGTATGCGCTGTCGCTAAAGGTTCAGCCATACAGCCCGTGTGCATTATATCGATGGCGACCCATAAAGTTAATATTCATTCGGAATAGACCAACAACCACGTGCAACAAACGAAACCGTTTTTGGAGGACACTGGATGTCTTTTTTTTTTATCCACAACGAGGAAGCTCTTGGCCTGTATCTCACCTGATGGTAAGTAATGATCAGGCCGAAGGTGGAAGCGAGCTTCACCCGGAATCCTCAACCACGGAGGAACTGGCTATCTTACCTCTAACTGCCGGAACACAACAATGCTGTCAACATTGTTGTTATGGCGACAGACTTAAGTAAGAAGGTGGTAGCTAGCCAGGCGGAGGCGGATTTGTGGGAGATGTGCGTTACTGATTGCTTAGAAAAATCTCATCTTATTTCCACCAAAGTGGAGCGAAGCGGTATGTGATTTCAGAGCGATCTTTTCATGTATGTAGCTACATTTTTATGTAGCAATGACCTTCCACACATACGTAATCTTGTGCATCTTCACAAACATTTTGGCATGTTTCTTTAACCTCTATTTGTGTATAATGCTTGTCTATTTCCTTCGCAGGTGTGTACACAGCGCCTTACGGTGTGTACGGTGGAGACATGGCGGCGCAACGCAAACCGCAGCGGGCGAGAGTGCCTCCGCCGTCGAAGGTGAATATGGATCTTATTTACAAGCTGTTATGGGTCAATATAATGTTCGATTGATGTACTTTAATATTACTCCCATGTACAGCTAGCTCATTGTATATGTTCACAGAGGTCTATCTGATTTGTGGTTTTCAGGATTTCGAATTAAATATAAAAATTGTCTTTCTTTCTTTCTTTCATCTGACAAGCGAAAAGGGGTTAAATCCGAGTTGCCATCTATAAATGTTGTCCTCATTATGATAACCCGAAGATTAGCGCTATCGTGATTTGTGTAGCCAAGTATTTGCGCATACTTTGGTGCTTTTTTCCATAGTCGCAATATAATCGCATGGCTCGGCTGTCAAATTAATGTCAACAGAATATTATCGCGATGTGTGTGGCCCAGGGGTGAGAAAAATTGGGAACTAAGAGCTTTTTCAAATTAGACGTTTTGAGCCGGACGATTGTAGTGCGTTTACAGAACCGCACACGGTAAAAAAATGTATGACAACTGCGTCGGAATTTGACAATTACCAATAGTGTGCGGTTTTGCAGATAAACGTCTAATTTGAAAGAACTGAACGTCCAAGTTTCTCTCGCTTATGAAGAATGCTAATATGTTTATTTTGTAAGTTTTTGAACATCACTGTTGACTTCTTGGCGGAAATCTGAAGCGTCATGTTAGCGGTTTTGTTTTATTTCCTCAAATTCGTGTTTGGGCGATTATTAATGTGTAATAATGGTGGATTATTAACCATTAAGTGTTCGTGAACGTGCATGAGTGTGGGCAAGTGAAGCAAAACAGTGCATCGTGATTCTTCTGGTTCTTTCAATTTGTCCATAGGAGGTCTCAGTAAAGCACCACAACTTTACTGATACTCAAAGGGGTATCATCTATCATCCTTCATTATATCATTACTTGATCTCATTTTGTAACTCGTATCACATAAATACTTGAAAATGGCACAAATCAAGTCGACCTCGACGTGGCAAAATCAAAATCAAAATTATCTTTATTTGTGTAGACTAATTAAATTAGTTCTTGCAAATCGTCAAATGCTCTTAATGAGCCTATACATGTCTCATTCTTTTTTTGCCCTACCAGCGCTTCGAGACCAACATTTGGCAAGTGCTGAGAAGAAGCGCCGCAACAAACTCAGTCACCACTGTCTGCCGGTTTAAAAATATAAAAAAGTAGGAAGTTACATACATTCAGAAGCAAGTTACTTACCACGCGCTCCCGTTGATAGAAGGTGGCCTTTAAGACGCCCATCTAGCACGAGACCGCGTGGCAGTTTTGAATATATTTCTTCGTGTATTGCCAACATCATCAAAAAAAAAAGAAGAAGAACATCATTTGTATTATTATATGTATTGTATTGCTGTTGGTTTTCCGAATAAAATATAATAAATAAATAAATAATCCGTTGTTTTCAGATCCCGATGTCTGCGGTGGAGATGCCGGGCGGCGGCGAGGGCGGCGCGGCGCTGTTCCTCGACGTGCAGTTCGGCGCGCTCGACCCAGACGCGCTCGACACGCAGGTAATGTACTTTGAACCTTATGGCAGCGACGTAGATTATAATATCCGTTGGAAGATTAACCTTGAACCCTGGCATATTTTTTTTTTATCAGTATATTTTCTCCTTTCCTCTTTATTATAAATATCTTAATATATTTAGTTATATTTATGTACTTAAACTCACCACACCCCAACCGTCACGTTGACGTGTTACGCGCGTTCTTTCGTCCTTAGGCTATAGCTGAAAATCAGTGGTTTGCTTTTCAACCGACTTAAAAAAAAAGGAGGAGGTTCTCAATTCGACCCGTATGTTTTTTTTTTCTATGTTTGTTACGCGATAACTCCGCCAATTATGAACCGATTTGAACAAATCTTTTTTCTGCGTATAGGTAATACCTCAAGGGTGGTCCCATTTAAATTTAATAATAGAAAAAACAACCCCCAAGGGTGGAAAATTGGGGATGAACTTTTTTATACGCAATATCTCCGCCGATTATAAATCAATTTGAACGATTATTTTTTTGTTGAATAGGTATTATAAAAAGGTGGTTTCATGCGAATTTGAAGAAAATATTTCACCCCCAAGGGTGGAAAATTGGGGATGAACTTTTTTATACGCAATATTTTCAATTTTTAGTTTTTTTTGTGTTCACGCATTTGAAGTCTGTTTTTTTTTTTTTAAAGTTAATTATAGTAAACCAATTACTGAGCTGTTGCCGTTTTGCATTGCTGCAACACACATTTCTGTATAAAGTATGTACCGTACCTATATTGTATGTCATACTGTTTTTTTTTCTTTTTTTTTTTCTGTCTTACCATACCATGTCATAATTATTGTCCTAAGGGTACTATTTTATCCTACTTTTGATACTTTCTGTTTGTAATGTGTGTTTCTGTTATGCAAATAATAGTTTTATCTATCTATCTATCTTAAATCCATTGCCTCGAATTTTGCGGCAAGATGTTTTGCGTATTAATATATCAAGTGTATAATTATATATATTTTTCGGCAAATGCGCGATACTGAACCGAAAAGCGGCGTAACGTGTATTTATTTTTTCATTAGTGATGCAACGAATACTATTTATACGAATACGAATATTAAATCTTTTGCGGCGAATACGAATACATACATAGTCATGAAATGCTCATTAATCCAACTTATATTATGGTTTTTTTAGTAATTAAAATTTACAAATGACAATAACTGTAACTGATCACAAAACAAAATAATATTTGTACAATCGACCTATGCTATTGACTGTCAAATTCTGGAAAAGAACGATAATTGAATGAATGAAATGAATGAATTTGACCCCGGGCTCAGAGTACTTTGTTACATACTGACCGGCGCTTTCCCGTCGTTTCGCTGTAGCTATAGTGTTTGGATACCTACTTTTTTAATTATTTATTTACCGAATATGAATATTCGGTAAATATCTACTATTCGGCGAATACGAATATTCGTATTCGTTGCATCAGTATTTTTTATGTATCACCAAGGGGGAGCCAATAAAAATGCCAAAAGAATCAACGGCCCCTAAGTGCTACCTTTATTGGAACAAATCACTCATCGCTGTTGAACTAAAATCGTTATGTAAAAGTTCCTCTTTTTCTTCTCAGTGGATGAAAAAGGACAGCACAATATCAATAGCTGTCCACAAACCAGTTAAAAGGCATGTTAACCCAATCAAAATACGGCTAGACTGATTTTAGTTTAACCACAGAATAATAATAAGTACTACGTACAGAAGTTTTACTTCGCGAAGGTATTTAAAAAAATGTATGCTCAATGTCATTAACAATATGGTGTAATTTAGCCTGTCTCAAGAGTCAAGCACCATTTTGTTGACAAACGTCAGTGATCGGCACTGCGCCGAAGCTATAGGGCTGACTTCGGTAAAATGATGTGACGTGAGGTGCCAAACTGCGGAAAATGGCGGAGGAAATACATGATTTAGCATGAATTATCATGAATAATATTAACTACTTATTTACCTCTCAGTGTCTTGAGGCAACTTAAAAAAGTACATTCTGTGTTTTTATTATTATTTAGGCAGTTAAATACTGCACAGTATTTAGTACACCATTTTCTTTATTTTCTTCCATCATACACAAGAATACGCGTGCGTGAGTCAATGTTCGCTCGTATGTGAGGCCTTGTCGAATAGTATCCTGTAAGCACCATTTTGTTGACAAACGTCAGTGATCGGCACTGCGCCGAAGCTATAGGGCTGACTTCGGTAAAATGATGTGACGTGAGGTGCCAAACTGCGGAAAATGGCGGAGGAAATACATGATTTAGCATGAATTATCATGAATAATATTAACTACTTATTTACCTCTCAGTGTCTTGAGGCAACTTAAAAAAGTACATTCTGTGTTTTTATTATTATTTAGGCAGTTAAATAGTGCACAGTATTTAGTACACCATTTTCTTTATTTTCTTCCATCATACACAAGAATACGCGTGCGTGAGTCAATGTTCGCTCGTATGTGAGGCCTTGTCGAATAGTATCCTGTAGGTGGGCCATCGTGCTTGTTTTGTTTTCGATGTAAACTCGCGGAGATGAACAGGCCTGGTTTAACCAATACTTCGAAAAGAGGTTAGAGATAAGTAAATAGCGAAAGGAGTTTTTTTTCTCAAAATTTGTGTTTTTTACAGCAAGTGACGTCACAAGCGGAAACTCAGCCGGTGTCAAGTAGTCACGAAACAACAACGGAAGCGCCTACTACTACTAATTACCCTAATTCTAATAGTATGGTGAGTACTTAGTAAAAGTAGAGATCTTTGGGAGGCCTTTGTCCAGAAGTGGGCGTCATTTGGCTGGAATAACAAACGAATTTGTAAAATTATAGCCTGACTTTATATCAATTGAAATCACAAGAAACTATGCCAATAACTTGACTCAAATCGTTGCTTTCCATTAATTAGGTAAGGAATAGGCCTAAAGTTGTGATTAGAGGAAGTTGCTACTCTGTGACGCAAAAATTACTGCACGTATTTTGATAAAACTTCACAACACATACATCAGTAGGCCTAAGATGCGCGCCGTGATAATTTTTATCGACGTCAAAATGTATGGGGACAATCGATAAAATGGCGTGATAACCACTAATTTATCGGTTCCATAGGTCGCTGGTTCATATCTGGCTCGAAGGACCATTTATTTATGTATTGTGTCAATAAACCTATTCTATTCTATTCTTGTGCACATAAACCCCACGATACATAAGGCGAACTTAATGCCGTATGTACGTCTTAATAACTGATAAACGTACTCTTATTTATTTAATTAATCTCTACATCTTCCTTCGAATTCGATTGATATCTCCCTTGTATTGTTTTGTTCCAGCAACAGTTAAGCGAGACGCTCTCGTCGGTGGTGGAATCAGCGCCAACGACGCAAGCGCCCGTCACGACAGAATCTCCAGTCACCAACGCCACCTCATGTAAGTGTTGTTATACGCTGGCTCCATATGTTGGCCCCAACGTTGGTACCAATTACCAACGGCATTCATCCAACGTCTGGATCTAAAAATAGCTTGTTAAAACGTTGGTATACGATATGCTTTCACCAACGCTACGTCATATGAGTGTTGTTATACTGACTACGTTGGTCCCAATGTTGGTACTAAGTCCCAACGACATTCGTCCAACGTCTGGATCTAAAAATAGCTTGTTCCAACGTTGGTGCGAATACGATATGCTTTCACCAACGCTACGTCATATGAGTGTTGTTATACTGACTACGTTGGTCCCAACGTTGGTCCCAAGTCCCAACGGCATTCGTCCAACGTCTGGATCTAAAAATAGCTTGTTCCAACGTTGGTGCGAATACGATACGCTTTCACCAACGCTATGTCATATAAGTTGTTGTTATACTGACTACGTTGGCCCCAACGTTGGTATCAAGTCCCAACTGCATTCGTTCAACGTCTGGATCTAAAAATAGCTTGTTCCAACGTTGGTGCGAATACGATACGCTTTCACCAACGCTATGTCATATAAGTTGTTGTTATACTGACTACGTTGGCCCCAACGTTGGTATCAAGTCCCAACGGCATTCGTCCAACGTCTGGATCTAAAAATAGCTTGTTCCAACGTTGGTGCGAATACGATACGCTTTCACCAACGCTATGTCATATGAGTTGTTGTTATACTGACTACGTTGGTCCCAACATTGGTACTAAGTCCCAACGACATTCGTCCAACGTGTGGATCTAGAGAATAACTTGTCCCAAGCAACGTTGATGTGAATAACATAATTATGCTTCATACTTTGTGTGTTGTATTGTTGACATGGGAAAGTCAGAAATTGATGCTGAAAGGGGGTATAATAAAAACTTTTTGGCATGTAGATATGTCTTATAGTTAGTTAAATCAACGTGGGGACTATCCCACGTAAGCTTTTGGGGAATCAAGTAAAAGTTGGGAGTTTTCACAGGAATAAGACCGACAGGATAGAATAAGATCGAAAATATTATCTTATTTCTGTATGAATGCTCTACATACTCTTCTTATAGTCGGCCAGAAAAATGCTTTATCTGCCCATTTTATAAAGTTAAACTTTAAGCAATAATAGTTCTATTGCCTCCTATCAACTTACAATCTTAAAGCAATACGATAGAGCACATTCTCGGCCGGCTGTGCATTACTCTTAGGTACGATGCCCAATCCGGACGAACATGAATGACAGAAATGTCACTTAATCAGTTGTAAGCAATTACGACTCTAAGAACTGTTAATAAAATTATATTTTCTTTACGGCCGTGTGAGTGCTCTCCGACGCGCTCCGCCGCGCGCCGGTCAATGGGCATCGTACCTTAGACTAGGCGTAGACCATCAATTTTTAGTTGGCCGATAGTTGTGCCTGATTTTAAATTGTATGAAGAATCGGCCAAATCGAATCGGCGTAGTGTGCGCACTTCCATACATGCCCATACTGATCAACTGCCCGACTAAACTATCGGCCGATAAGAAATCAATGGTCTGCGCCTGGGCTTCGAACGCACAGCGCTAGAGCAGCCCGGTCTGTGCCGGCGCTGCGTACAAGCCGTGCCAGAGCGACAGGCTTGCGTGACGTCCGCCACGCTTCGTGTTGGGTGATGGTTGCCGGGTCGGACAGTTGTGCTTTATTTTGTGTGTTTTTATGTGTTTTGTGACCATTTGCATGGTTTTGGGTGTTTTAACCGCTATTTGAAAAGAAAAAATGAAATTTTTGGTAATAAATAGTACATACTACAGATGCTAGCACGTCAGATTATGAATTATTATTAAAGCGCATCTATTACAACATAATAATGTGTTGCAACTTGCAGTGTAGCTTGATGTGCCGTCGTCTGTACAGCTACGAACCAGACTACAACAAAAATGTTAAATGTTTCCAATAGATTTTGAATTTAATGTCAATGGTGTTAAGTCCAAAATCGGTGCCAAATTTTTTTCTGAACTGAATTAAAACCATTTCATTTTACACGCCTCGGCTTTTCTGATTGTTGTTTCTTTCTTATAGCCTGACCAGGAACATAAAAACCCTCGCCATGTTGCGGAAAACTAATGGTACTAATTTCTTTTAATGGCAACAGTAACTGAAAACTTCATTGACATGTCACCTTGCATGTCAGTCTATTGCTGTCAAAGTGTAAACAAACTTTATTTTAAATGTGCGCAATTGATTTTGTGAATGAAATTGCTAAAATCTTTTTATAGTCGTGAAAGAAAAGTGGTTCACAATGTGTTAAAGTATTTGTCGAAGAGAAATACCAAGGGTTCGGACAATATTTTCATTGAATAATGTTTCCGACAAAGGTTGTCAAATTGACTGACATGTTTATCGTATAGTACAGTCCACTATGAAAATTAGCTGTGGTTTGTTTCAACTACCTATTTTAAAGTTTTTTGTCTCTTTCTAAGTGTTGAATTTTATGGAATTGGATAGAAGTACCGAGTTTGAAGCGTTCATGAGCAGACATTGCAGTTGAATATTCAAGTTCTGAATTTGGTTATTGATGAATAATAAAATAAATCCTACTAGCTCGATTGATTGTTTCATTTAATTTATTTAAACCAGGTTACCTATAATAATATTTTTTCGTTAATTTATGAAAATATCAAATTAGCCCGTAATCCTGAATCCTGATACATAAAGTTAGCCTATTAATTTAACACAGGTACGACTGTACTCAGTGTTGCACTATCAAATGCAATTGACGCGCCTCTATGCCAGGGTTTTTATGTTCCTGGTCAGGCTATACTCTCTTTACGTTACATGATCTTGTCAAGTGTCATAATTGAAATTTACTATAGTCTGGTCTGTGAGTACGTAGAATTTTGTCCAATGACCCCAAGCTACCCATCCTTGGACAAAATTCTACGCGCTCACAGACCGGGCTTTAGTCATGTTTGCGAGCATAATGTAGCGCGAAAGTTTGACGATTACGACGATGCTTTATGATGGCATATGACGTCACCTAGACGAATAATAAAATGTAAACGTACCTTAACGCTGACGTATGCTTCCGCAGCGGTGGAGAAGCAGTTAAGCGCAACGATGAAGCAGTTGTCAGTGTCAGCAGCGGACGCAGTTGCAACAACGGCCGCGCCGCAGCAGCACCTAAGCTCACACCATAGGCCCAAGGTATGCTTACCAATAAACTAACATCAATTTACATTATAGTTTGGTTGTATTTTACGTCAAGACAAAGTAAAAACTTAGTAAAATGTATACTAGGTGTAGTTTATTACATTAACAGTTACTATACACAACTTTGACTGTTTGCAATAAGAACCACCTATAAAAAACTCGACAGCTATCTTAGATGGCGCCATTGACGAGTGACAGGACCTTACTAGCCAGTGGTACGAACTTGGGTGAGTGTAAATCCAACTTGGAGTGACAGGAGGATTACCGTATTTGCACTCACCATAGGGCTGAGTGTGAGTTAACATCAAAAGTACTCACTAGTGAGCGCGTTAAAAAAATATATGAAAATTTTACTTCTTGAAAGTTTACGCTAGGCGCGCTGTACAATCTGTCATACATTTAATGTAATTTTTTATGCGCTCACTAGTGAGGACGATTGATGTAAACTCACACTAAGCCCTCAGTTAGGTGCCCCTTGCGTGTAAGGTACTCACTCGCTAGTAGTTGGACAGTGGCGCCAAATGGTGAGCACATAGACTAGTCCTGATTGTTTTGTTTTGCCAACAGCAGACGGGCGCGCAAAATGTGTACGCACAGCACGCCGTCAGTCATCATCCGCCTGTATACGGAGCCAACGTCTACGCGCCGCAGGTAACTTACAACTACCCTCCTTTTACGTTAGTAAAAAGATACACATAAAAGACCATAGCGTTCCCTTAAGGAGTATTGTTTTGGCTAATGTCCCGATCACGCATGACATTTCTTTTGAGTATGCGTAAATCATTCCAGCTCAATAGCCACTTAAAATGTGATCCGCGCGTTATGCCTACATTTGACATTAATTAAGTTTTTTGTTTAGACTTTGTTGAGAGATAAATCTGTTCATACCGTCTAGGTTTAAAAACTCCATCGGTTCCAAAACAAAATGTCCGCATAAATCATTCGATGTCGACCGTAAGGCCCAGAACAGACGGTGAAACGCAACTGCAAAGAAACTGCAACTGCTAGTTACTTTTGAGTTGCATCTAAGTTTTTGCCATAGCGACCGTTGAGAGACCACACCTGACGCGACCAGTTTGAAACTTTCAGTTTCATTCATCAGAATCATCAGAAAGTTGCAGTTTTGCAGTTACGTTTCACCGTCTGTTCTGGGCATTAGCACTGAATAATAATAAGTACCACGTACAGAAGTTTTACTTCGCGAAGGTATTTAAAAAAATGTATGCTCAATGTCATTAACAATATGGTGTAATTTAGCCTGTCTCAAGAATCAAGCACCATTTTGTTGATAAACGTCAGTGATCGGCACTGCGCCGAAGCTATAGGGCTGACTTCGGTAAAATGATGTGACGTGAGGTGCCAAACTGCGGAAAATGGCGGAGGAAATACATGATTTAGCATGAATTATCATGAATAATATTAACTACTTATTTACCTCTGTGTCTTGAGGCAACTTAAAAAAGTACATTCTGTGTTTTTATTATTATTTAGGCAGTTATATATTGCACAGTATTTAGTACACCATTTTCTTTATTTTCTTCCATCATACACGAGAATACGCGTGCGTGAGTCAATGTTCGCTCGTATGTGAGGCCTTGTCGAATAGTATCCTGTAGGTGGGCCATCGTGCGTGTTTTGTTTTCGATGTAAACTCGCGGAGATGAACAGGCCTGGCATTAGTCACACCGTAAGCCCTGTCGGTATAATGTCCCATCCTCTACATAAGTTAATTTTTTCTAATCCGCTTCATTTGCAGGTGAACTCAACGAACGCGTCGCTAACGGGCGCAAGCGCAGCCATGACCGCCGCGTATCCGTCTAGCGTCACGCTCACGCAGTACCAGCCCATGATCAACTCATACCAGGTCGGTGTTAGCACTTACAACTCCATAGAGGTTGTATCGGCTACACAAATAAACTCCGACAAACGTTACTTCGAAATTACGGTACTCCGACACTACTGAATATCGACATGACTTTACTTCGACATCACTTTCTGAGTAGTGTAGTGTCCGATCGTCGAGTCAGATAGCCAAATTTTTCATTCAAAATATTGTCACGGACCTATTACCTGTTCTTCGCATAATTTTAATACCTTATTCATACCTATAATAAGGCTGTGCCGCGCGCCGATTCCTTCAGTACCGTGCAAACAAAGGTGATCGGTGGATGTCACCGGTGACATTTCCCGGAATCCGAGTCACGAGTGGCCGCCACAGATGGCATGTCGCTACTAGCTACACGTGTGCAGCGATTCCATACAAACCATGTTAAAAATTGTGTAAACGTTTTGTTGTTGCCGGTCATCGGTACCGTGGCCCGTTTATTCAGTCTACCAAAACTGTAGAGTCAATCTTTTAAATCGTGAATACAATAATAAATGTGTTGTTTCTTATCTGAATATTTGTAATGACCTGTTTTGCAATTTTCTGTGCAGCAAACGTCATCGTCAGCGGCAGGCTACGGCGGCAGCGCGCTGTACACGGCGGCGCCGTACTACGCGCCCGCTGCGCACGCGCCACACACGCCGCCTACGAAGCATTCGCACGCGCCGCACGCACAGGTGAGAATAATAATAAGTACTACGTACAGAAGTTTTACTTCGCGAAGGTATTTAAAAAAATGTATGCTCAATGCCATTAACAATATGGTGTAATTTAGCCTGTCTCAACAGTCAAGCACCATTTTGTTGACAAACGTCAGTGATCGGCACTGCGCCGAAGCTATAGGGCTGACTTCGGTAAAATGATGTGACGTGAGGTGCCAAACTGCGGAAAATGGCGGAGGAAATACATGATTTAGCATGAATTATCATGAATAATATTAACTACTTATTTACCTCTCAGTGTCTTGAGGCAACTTAAAAAAGTACATTCCGTGTTTTTATTATTATTTGGGCAGTTAAATACTGCACAGTATTTAGTACACCATTTTTTTTATTTTCTTCCATCATACACGAGAATACGCGTGCGTGAGTCAATGTTCGCTCGTATGTGAGGCCTTGTCGAATAGTATCCTGTAGGTGGGCCATCGAGCGTGTTTTGTTTTCGATGTAAACTCGCGGAGATGAACAGGCCTGCCTCAGCCTCGAGTTTAGTGGGCAGCTCGCGCGGCGCTTTAGCGGCGAAGTGTTGTGTTCGGGGTTGTGTTGTCGAGATATGCCCGCTGAACTCGAGGCTGAGGCCTTAAGGTCGAGATCAGCGCGGCTCCGGCAGCGCGCTGTACACGGCGGCGCCGTACTATGCGCCCGCTGCGCACTGTTATGAGCCTCTGGGGATTTGGGTTTTAAAAAAAAAGAACACGAGATTAAAAGGATAAGACAGCCGTCTAGTTCGGATGGTGGAATGAGACTGACTTGGAAATGCGAGGTATCGCAGGCTATGGATGAAAAAGGATGAGTCGGCAAAAGGCGGAATGTCAAGTAAGCAATATAGGGTGCGAGGGCTATCTGTAACAGCACGCGCCACACACTCCGCCCACCAAGCATTCGCACGCGCCGCACGCACAGGTGAGCCTTGTGTCGAGGCTTTAAGGTTCAGATTCGAAAAACGTGGTAGGTGGACTAACGACCTTATAAAGGTAGCAGGGAAGCGCTGGACGCAGGCCGCTACCAATCGATCAACATGGAAAGCATTGGGGGAGGCCTGTGTTCAGCAGTGGACGTCCTCGTTTCAGCCAAATGACGTCCACTGCTGGACAAAGGCCTCCCCCAAGGTTTTCCACAATGAACGGTCCTGCGCTGCCCGCATCCAGGCTCTTCCCGCGACCTTTACCAGATCGTCGGTCCACCTAGTAGGAGCCCTGCCCACGCTACGTCTTCCAGCCCGTGGTCGCCACTCGAGAACCTTCCTGCCCCAACGGCCATCGTCTCTACGAGCTATGTGCCCCGCCCACTGCCACTTGATTTTAGCAATTCTGCGAGCTATGTCGGTTACTTTGGTTCTCCTGCGGATCTTAGGTGAGCCTTGTGTCCGCACCTTAAGGTCGAGATCAGCACGGCTCCGGCAGCGCGCTATACACGGCGGCGCCGTACTACCACACACGCCGCCCACCAAGTACACGCACGCGCCGCACGCACAGGTGAGCCTTGTGTTAAGGCCTTAAGGTTCAAATGCGTTTGAGCATCGAAAAACGTAGACAAGGTTGACTTATTAAGATAGCAGAGGCGCTGGAAGCTAGCCGCAGGCGCAACAAACCGGCCAATCTAGAAATCAATGAGGGATCGTATAGGCCAGGGGTGGCCAACCGGTCGATCGCGACTTACGCCCGTATTCACAAACATTACTATGAAGTCTCACAGTGCACGTGGACGCACAGGGTAACACACGAACCAATCACAGAGCTCTATTCAACGCTCTGCGTTCGATTTGCTGCTTCACTTAAGCAAGCACCGTTTGTGAATACGGGCGTTAGTCCAGTCGATCGTGGTAAGGCAAAAAATACTACATGATTGTGTACTAAGCTATGCTGTTTCATTTAAGATTTCAAGATATGTAAGTGGTAGATCGCCCAGGGTTTCGTTAGAAAACGTAGATCTTTTGTCTAATCAAGTTGGCCACCCCTGGTATAGGCCAAGTTCATTAGTGGACGTTCTGTGACTGAAATCATGATGGATGATCAAAGGCAGCCAAAGCCGTGACCGAGACGAGAGACCTCGACCGTTACATGACTTAAAACTATGTATAAACATTAGTTTGCGAGCGAAACCGAGACAGCTTAGTCAAGTATAGGTCACGATCTCCCATCGCATTATCTTGTCTCGATCGTTTGAGTTTGGCAACTACTGCGTTTAATTGCGGTTAACACTGCTGTAACGCAAACTTAAAAATAAACTGCAAATATTGATTTTAATAGTTGTATTGACCGTCATAACGTTTTTGTCCGCAGTACGACAGTTCGGTGACGCCAAGCAGTAGCCTAACGAGCACGTCCACGACACAAACCTCCACAGCCAAAGTAGCCACAACCACCACATGTGAGTACATTGTGTAGTATTATCGATAAGTTAAGTTCTACTTGTATACTTTTCTTTCAAATAAAAAGTGATCAAGAAATCTAGACAAGGAAAGGATCTGGGTAGCGCAGGCCCGGTCGTTGTAGAAACATTGGTGGAGTCCTTTGTTTAGAGTTTAATGCTTTTTTCTGTGATAAAAATTCTAGAGTAACTGTCTGTGCAATTTTTTCTCATGTTTAAACCACAATCAATATAAAAAATTTTGAGTTAAATGAGTCATGTTTGTGACTTTGGCTACTTTAAAGATTTAATAAGCTAAATGGTGCCACCTCCCGTTCCCATCGTTGCAACTCTTGTGTGGCCAGGATCTACAGCTGGGTCTCCAATGAAACCCAATTAGTGAAGGTTGAGTAGTCACGGGAATGGCAAATTGTCTTGGAATTCGCAACTAATTTAATCAGAAGAATGTAGGAGTCCGAAATGTAATATCGGCTTCCCTCTATTGTAAATCGGGAGACGAGATGGGAGGTGACTGTAAAGGTATCAACCTCTTTTAAGAATGGGATATTTATTAGTTAGGGGTACTTATTAAGTGAGTCATTAACTTTTTGTCAGCCTATAGTTGGGTTAAGTTGTTAATCAGTATGGACATTGGAAATGTATGAAAGTGTGCACATTGGTATCGGCCGATTCTTCATTCAAATTAAAATATTGGCCAACTAATAGTCTGTTGTCTGCGGGGTGTCTAAGACAAGTCTTTTGAACCGAAATAACCCACCACCACCCATGGTTCTTCCTGCCTCACGGCGTACGAACCGAATCTCGGGAGAGCGCGCGGGTACTTGCTCTGGGCTCTTTTCCCCGGGCGCTTTGCTTGACTTCCTACAAATTTGTCTGATCCATGTCCCTTCTCATAGTCAATTCTCCCCCTTCTGGGGCTTGACACCACAAGTCTTTTGAACCGTGCTTCTCCGCAGCGCACGCAGCAGCAGCAGCAGCAGCAGCAGCGGCAGCAGCAGCGGCGGGCAGCGCGGGCAGCACGCACCACGCCAGCGCGGCCAGCACCGCGCCCGCGCCCGCCGCCAGCGCCGCGCCCGCCGCCATGTCCAACGCAGGTACTCATTACTTTATAACTAAAGTCCGGTCGCCGACCACGTACAATTTCGTCCAATGACTCGAAGCTACCCACCCTTATCGCTCTCGGCTAGGCGGCGGCGGCGGCTATGGGCTCCTTTATTATCCTACTTCCTACTAATATTATAAATGCGAAAGTTTGTATGGATGTCTGGATATCAACATGTTTGTTACTCTTTCACGCAAAAACTACTGAACGGATTTCGACGAAACTTACAGTATTTTTTTTATTTATAAGGCATAACATTATTATTATTATTGTTTATAGCCCAGAATAACATATAGGCTATAATTTATGACGATATGTGACAAACTGAATTTCAATAAATAAATAAGACGTGAGAAATATTTACCAAAAAGCGCCATCTATCAACATTCTTTTTGACGTTCGTAAATATATTCATGCGGACGACGAAGCCGTGCAACGCCATTTATCAAGCGCTGTTCAAAGATATTGAAATTTTATTAAATAACGAAACGTATTTGAATCACAGTAATATTAGTTAAAACGGGGTCCACGCCTACGAAGTCGCGGGCGGCCGCTAGTGGACAATAAAGAATATATTTCCAAAATTAGAACCTCTGTTCTTTTCTTTGAATGTTTATGAATGAAATCCATCTTTGTCTCCGTAGCGAACATCGCAGGCGCGGGCTACGCGGCGGCAGCGTTATACGGCGCGGCCGGAGTGGGCGGAGTCGGCGGCGTGGGCGGAGTCGGCGGAGTGGGCGGAGTCAGCGGCGTGGGCGGGGCCACGGGCGCCTACGCCGCCTACGACGAGCACCTCATGCGGAGTACTAGCACGCTGCCACACCATATGGTGAGTGGAGTTANTTCGGCCGTAAGAACTGTTAATAAAATTATATTTTCTTTACGGCCGTGTGAGTGCTCTCCGACGCGCTCCGCCGCGCGCCGGTCAATGGGCATCGTACCTTAGACTAGGCGCAGACCATCGATTTTTAGTTGGCCGATAGTTGTGCCTGATTTTAAATTGTATGAAGAATCGGCCAAATCGAATCGGCGTAATGTGCGCACTTCCATACATGCCCATCTGATCAACTGCCCGACTAAACTATCGGCCGACGAAAAATCAATGGTCTGCGCCTAGGCTTCGAACGCACAGCGCTAGAGCAGCCCGGTCTGTGCCGGCGCTGCGTACAAGCCGTGCCAGAGCGACAGGCTTGCGTGACGTCCGCCGCTTTGTGTTGGGTGATGGTTGCCGGGTCGGACAGTTTTGCTTCATTTTGTGTGTTTTTTGTGACAACTTGCATGGTTTTGGGTGTTTTAACCGCTATTTGAAAAGAAAAAATGAAATTTTTGGTAATAAATAGTACATACTACAGATGCTAGCACGTCAGATTATGAATTATTATTAAAGCGCATCAGTGTCTATTACAACATAATAACGTGTTGCAACTTGCAGTGTACAGCTTGTTGTGCCGTCGTCTGTACAGCTACGAACCAGACTACAACAAAAATGTTCAATGTTTCCAATAGATTTTGAATTTAATGTCAATGGTGTTAAGTCCAAAATCGGTGCCAAATCTTTTTCTGAACTGAATTAAAACCATTTCATTTTACACGCCTCGGCTTTTCTGATTGTTGTTTCTTTTCTGGGATCGTTCTTACTCTCTTTACGTTACATGATCTTGTTTAAAGTGTCCTAATTGAAATTTACTATAGTGACTACACCGACCGAGTGAGCACGTAGAATTTTGTCCAATGACCCCAAGCTACCCATCCTTATCGCTCGCGCGTAATTATGTTGCTATCGCGCATGGGTGCGGCGCAAGGATGGGTAGCTAGGGGTCATTGGACAAAATTCTACGTGCTCACAGACCGGGCTTTAGTCATGTATGCGAGCATAATGTATCGCGAACATTTGACGATTACGACGATGTTTTAAAAAGACACGTGACGTCACCTAGGCGAATATAGTGTGAATGTACCGTAACGCTGACGTATGCTTCCGCAGCGGTGGAGAAGCAGTTAAGCGCTTCGATGAAGCAACTGTCAGTGTCAGCAGCGGACGCCGTGGCCACGACTGCAGCGCCGCAGCAGCACCTAAGCTCACACCATAGGCCCAAGGTATGCTTATTAATAAACTATAGTTTGGTGGTATGTGCATCACATAAAAGTAAAAAGGTAGTAAACATTTTAGGTGTAGTCTGTTTTATATTTTTCAGATAAATTAACTTTTATCTACAAACTAACGCTGAGTTGCATCACCTTATTTTAACCGTAACAATAACTGCTGCTTTTTGTATCGAGTTTGACAGATTTTTGACATTTGTCAAAGTTAAAGTAAGATGGTGCCACTCGGCTTAAGTTTGACATATTTTAACAGTTACTGTATTTTAGTTGGGCACTCTTGTCAGAGTGGTCGTAGTTGCGCTGACGAGGCACACGGTAGGGTGTTTGATGTCCTCTCCGAGGGTAGCTCTCCTGGCGATGCGCTTCCATTTCTGACGGTTAGAGATGTCGCGAGTACACGTATCAGTTACTGGTTATGTAACCTTTAAAAATCGCTACCTTATTTGCGCTAACTAGATGGCTCCATTGACGAGTGATAGGACCTTACCAGCCAGTGGTGCCAACTTGGTGAATGAACGTACTGCAAAATCCATCTTGTGTGAATTTAAGCGACAGGAGGACTAGCGTCGTTAACAGGTGTGCACTCAAGTGACAGAAGAACTTTTGTATTTGCACTTACCAGGATGGTGCCCTTGTAAGGTACTATCACTCGCTAGTAGCTAAGACAATGGTGCTAAATAGAGCGTATAGACTAGCCCTGATTGTTTTGTTTTGTTCACAGCAGACGGGCGCGCAAAATGTGTACGCACAGCACGCCGTCAGTCATCATCCGCCTGTATACGGAGCCAACGTCTACGCGCCGCAGGTAACTTACAACTACCCTCCTTTTACGTCAATAAAAAAGATATCGAAAACGGAGAATAGGAGTATTGTTTTGGCTAGTGTTATGAGCACAGATCTTGAGCGCATTTTTGACCAATACAACTACAGAATGACATTTCTTTTAAGTAAACTATGCGAATGCAATAGCAGTTCTTTGGCCGCTTAAGATGCGCGTTATGTAAAATATGGTAACTTAGTGTAAAATGTCCCAAGGATATTTATTTATCTATACTTCTATACTAATATTATAAATGCGAAAGTAACTCTGTCTCTCTTTCACGCCTAAACCAAAGAACCGATTTTGATGAAATTTGGCATAGATACTTTCGAGTCCCGGGAATGGACATAGGATAGTTTTTATCCCGGTTTTTGAAACAGAGACGCGCGCGATATAGTTTTTCTGTGACAGACAAAATTCCACGCAGGCGGAAAGCTAGTTATTTATATCTGCATTTTATATTTTTGTTTTTCCATTCTGACACACTTCGCTGAGATTAATCTTTTCATACTATTAGAGGCCGGTAGATCTATTCTCATAAATAAAACACTGGATACTCATCTTTCACATTATATTGCCATAGTTTAGATACAATTCATCACTTAGCACAAAAGCGCGCGGAGTTGTCTCCGCGCGTCCCTCTATTCTGACGTTTGATGCTAGCGTGACATTGACGTATGGGGCCGTCCATAAATNCAACCTAATCTAACCAACTGCGTATTTCTATACTGTGTAGCCGCGAGAGCTCTTTGGTGCGCTGTCTTCGGCGAAGTATTGCGCGCGCAGATTTTGACAGCGCGAAATACCTACTTTAGCAGAAATACCAAGCCTTAAGGCCTCAAGGTTCAAATGGCGGTTGAGCATGGACAAACGTGGACAAGGTTGACTGACGACCTCATAAAGCAGTAAGGAGCTGGAAGCGCAACCTACCGGCCCGGGACCAATGCTCGTTTTTTCACCATCAATCCCTAATTTTTAAGTGATCCCTATGGTAACAAATAACAGGAATTTTGTTTTCACAGTGGTCACTTAAAAAATAGGGATTGATGGTGAAAACGGGCATGTAGGCAATATAGGTTATATCAGCAGTGGACGTTCTGTGATCTAATGACGCTGATGAAAGACGACCGATTCGCGCCGTAACCGAGCCGAGAGACCTTGACAGTTACTTGACTTTAGGCTTTCTATAAACATCAATTTGCAAGCGAGACCGAGACAGATAACTAAGTCAAGTATCGGTCACGGTCTCCCGTCGCATTCTCTTGTCTCGATCGTTTGGATTCGGCAACCACTGCGTTTGATTGCAGTTGTGAACCACTGTATTATGTAGTTATTATCAATAAATATTTATTATTTATTTATTTACTGCTGTAACACAAACTTAAAAAGAAACTGTGCAAATATTTATTTAAATAGTTGTATTGACCGTGCTAACTTTTTTGTCCGCAGTACGACAGTTCGGTGACGCCTAGCAGTAGCCTAACGAGCACGTCCACGACACAAACCTCCACAGCCAAAGTAGCCACAACCACCACATGTGAGTACATTATGTAGTATTATCAATAAGTTAGTATAGTTATAGTTGGATATGGGTAGCGCAGGACCGGTTGTTGTAGAAATCTTGGAAACCTTTGCCTAGTAGGGATACAGGGCTTAATGCTTATTTTCTGTAATAGAAATGAGTATGCGTTTCTTTTTCATACATAAGGGTGTTTTTAATATCGTGCGGATTTCATCACGGATGCGGGATGGCCCCACGTCTCCCCACTCTTCATTCTACGGGTTAAAACTAGTCCCATGTTTGTAAGTTTTGGCACAGAATAATAATTATTTACTACTAGCTTTCCGCCCGCGGCTTCGCCCGCGTGGAATTTTGTCTGTCACAGAAAAACTTTATCGCGCGCGTCCCTGTTTCAAAAACCGGGATAAAAACTATCCTATGTTCTTTCCCGGGACTCAAACTATCTCTATGCCAAATTTCATCAAAATCGGTTGCGAGGTTTAAGCGGGAAAGCGTAACAGACAGACAGACAGACAGAGTTACTTTCGCATTTAAAATATTAGTTGGGATTAACAAAAAGTTTTCCTTGTGAAGATATTTAAAAAATGTTTACTCAATGTCGTCAAAATATGGTGTAATTTAGTTTGTTTCATAGTTGAGCACCGTTTCGTTTACAAAGTAAAGTGAAAGTGCCGATGCGATAGGGCTGATTGCTACAAAAAGCAAGTAGCTTCTTTGTTTTAGTCTTCTTTGTCATCTAGCTCACCACACGCGTATTTTTTCTTTTTTCCATAGTGAATTTTTACAAGGGGGCCGAATACGCGCGTTTATTGTCATTTACTATTTGCTCGTGAATCCCTAGGTCATACCCGCTGATTGCTCGGGGAGGTTAACAGTGCCCCGATTACGCTAATTTTTAACGTCTCCAATACATACGCGCTTCTTTTCCAGTTGCGCTCCGTTTTGGTCCAGCTGTGGTGCAAATTCGTCAATTCGGTATCACGGTAATGGACGTATTTTCCTAGTATTTTCATTGTCACATGATATATTTAGCTTTACGTTTACGTCTATGCTTCGTTTGAACTAGCTGTCAAAACGACACCGCGATACGGATTTGTTAAAACAGCTGATGTTCGTTCGTCGTCCGGGCACGTTGAAGTTGAAAATGAAAATATTTAGCGTAATCGGGGCCCTGGTCTGGTTTTGATTACATACTTTTCACAGTGTATCGTAAGCTCGTGTGACTCACTTGCCTTATAAACAATCCTCACTGAACCGTGCTTCTCCGCAGCGCACGCAGCAGCAGCAGCGGCGGCAGCAGCAGCAGCGGGCAGCGCGGGCAGCACGCACCACGCCAGCGCGGCCAGCACGGCGCCCGCGCCCGCCGCCAGCGCCGCGCCCGCCGCCATGTCCAACGCAGGTACTCACACAGCCTTCACGTCTAAAGTAGGCTCGCCGACCACGCACATCATCATCGTCATTTCAGCCACAGGACGTCCACTGCTGAACATAGGCATCCCCCAATGACTTCCACATCGCACGGTTGGTAGCGGCCTGCATCCAGCGCCTTCCTGCTACTTTTATCAGGTCGTCGGTCCACCTTGTGGGTGGACGTCCCACACGACCCCAATGAGGAGATCCGTAAACGAACTAAAGTCGCTAACATAGCCCGACGGATCAGCAAGCTGAAGTGGCAGTGGGCAGGGCACATAGTACGCAGAATTGACGGCCGATGGGGCAGCAAGGTTCTGGAATGGAGGCCACGTACCGGAAAACCGGAAAACGACCACGTACAATTTCGTCCAATGACCCCAAGCTACCCACCTTTATCGCTTGCGGCTAGGCGGCGGCGGCGGCTATGGGCTCCTCTATTATCCTATCCTACTTCCTACTAATATTATAAATGCGAAAGTTTTTATGGATATCTGGATATCAACATGTTTGTTACTCTTTCACGCAAAAACTACTGAACGCATTTCGACGAAACTTACAGTATTTTTTTTATTTATAAGGCATAACATTATTATTATTATTGTTTATAGCCCAGAATAACATATAGGCTATAATTTATGACGATATGTGACAAACTGAATTTCAATAAATAAATAAGACGTGAGAAATATTTACCAAAAAGCGCCATCTATCAACATTCTTTTTGACGTTCGTAAATATATTCATGCGGACGACGAAGCCGTGCAACGCCATTTATCAAGCGCTGTTCAAAGATATTGAACCTCTGTTCTTTTCTTTGAATGTTTATGAATGAAATCCACTTGTCTCCGTAGCGAACATCGCAGGCGCGGGCTACGCGGCGGCAGCGTTATACGGCGCGGCCGGAGTGGGCGGAGTCGGCGGCGTGGGCGGAGTCAGCGGCGTGGGCGGAGTCGGCGGAGTGGGCGGGGCCACGGGCGCCTACGCTGCGTACGACGAGCAGCTCATGCGGAGTACCAGCACGCTGCCACATCATATGGTGAGTGGAGGAGTTGNTGGAGTTACTGAGCTATACAGGGTGTCCCAAATATAGTTCCAAAATACTGAACTGTCCTATCGATGACATTGACAGCGGGGCGCCACCGTCAATACCGAATCGCTGGTTCCGATTTTTGCCATGTTGGAAACCATATAGTTGAACGATGGTAGCGCCCCCCTGTCATTGAGTTTGGCGGGACAGTTCAGCGTGGGTCATCTATATACTGGTCATCACAAAAATCGGCCCACCTACGTTTTACAGGAAAACTGCGGAGTACTAGCACGCTGCCACATCATATGGTAGGTGGAGTTGCTGAGCTATACAGGGTGTCCCAAATATACTTGTCGTCACAAAAATCGGCCCACCTACGTTTTACAGGAAAACTCGTTTCTACTGACACAATCATGGTGCCCCAACAATATTGGTGTTATTTGAAAGCCCAATTAATATCCTTAAAGAAAAACACATTTAATTTCTTAATAAACGATTAACATATACAATAAATGTGACTTGAAAAAAGACCTCGCTTTGGGCTCACCTCTGAGATCAATTAGACCAATTTTTATGGTTATAAAACCAAATAATGATCTCACGTGTCCTCTTTAACAGATTGATAGCGATTAATCCCAACTTAACAGTTTTATAGCCATAAAAGTTGGCTCAAGCGTAACTACCTATTTTTTGAAGAAGTGACTCTGGATTCTTCTACAGACACATTTTTGGGGTAAAAACCTTTCCTTTAATGAAATGAAGTTTAGAACTAAGCTTATAAATGGTGCCAATATTAGTGGGAAGTGGGGATGCATACGTATGAAAGTGCTTGTCGCGGGAGGGTCGATTTTTGTGATGACCAGTGTAGTAGTGTCAAGCTGAAGCCTAGTGATGCTTTACCTCTAGGCTTCGGCTTGACACTACTTTTTGGGATACCCTCTATGTGGAGGAGTTGCTGAGCTATTATAATACGGCGCCCCACAAGGTGGACCGACGACATCATAAAGGTATAGTCTGGTCTGTGAGCACGTAGAATTATGTTGCTGTCGCGCTCGCACACTCACTGCGGGCGCCCGTCGCACAGTCGCGACAGCAACATAATTACGCGCGAGCGATAAGGATGGGTAGCTTGGGGTCATTGCACAAAATTTTACGTGCTCACAGACCGGGCTTTAGCAAGAAGACGCTGGACGCAGGCCGCAGGCCGCTACCAACTGGGCAACATGAAATGCATTGGGGGAGACCTATGTTCAGCAGTGGACGTCCTATTGCTGAGATGATGATGATGAATACGACGTTGTACGGAGTAAGCGGAGCCACGGGAGTACACTTCCAGCTACCTTCCGTTTTTTCTCTCGCTTTCATCAAATGATGATTATTTGCGATAGATCGAGACGACACGACCGAAAATGGGTAGCTGGAACTGTGGCCAATAGTATGTCGAGCAGCTGAGGAGCACTAGCACGCTCCCGCACCATATGGTGAGTCCATCATTAGAGCCACAGGACGTCCACTGCTGTACGTAGGCCTCCTCCAATGATTTCCATAATGGTCGGTTGGTAGCGGCCTGCATCCAGCGCCTTCCTGGCTACCGTTATAGGTCGTCGGTGAAGTGGCAATGAGAAAGACATCGCTCGCAAAATTAACAGCCGATAAGGCAGCACGGTTCTGTAGACCACAAGAGGCAAGCCTAGCGTTGGACGCCTACCTATACCGGTGTTTAGCTAAAAAATAGCAGGAAGGTGCTGCATGCAGACCGGTATTAACCGGCCAATCTGGAAATCACTGGGCCTCCCCCAGTGATTTCTAGATTGGCCTATGTTCTGCAGTGGACTTCCTGGGTTAAATTGATGATGATGCAATTTTTGGTAAAGTTTATTTGTATTGTAAAATTTAAGATGACCTTTTAAGAGCCCAATTACAAAAAACTTGTGTAACGTTTGAGGGTTCAAGTAAAGTAATTTTTGAATGTGATTGGTTCCCAGGGAGGTTACTACGAGGTTGGCTACGGCAGTCGCGAGGGCACATTCGGCTTGGGCGCTGGAGAACGATTCGGACGCACAGACGCTGCCTCACCTCAACAGGTAACTATTACGCTACACAACGTTAGGACGTGTTATTAATAATTTTATCGAGTTTAAACAACTAATAAGATAACTTTCATCTTACCCAAGGCATAGTGACGCGACTTTGAACGTTTGGTTGCAACTTACATACAAAACGATGTAACTCTGTCGACGGAGCAGCAGTGTCATTTACGCGACATTGTATGCAGGCGGTACACCAAGTGTATAAAGATGCGTACGCTTTACTATACTGTAATAAATGTTTATTTCTTTCTACACCGCCGTGGACAGTGACGCTGAGAGGATGCAAATGCGATTTTCGAAAGTACAAAAGTATATTTTAATGCACATTTTAATTTCTTCTAAATTGTTCGATTGTCCCTTTACAGGTTCCTGCGGCGTTACCGCCCGGCTACGCTTACTTCTACCAGCCTCCACCCACCACGTACCAGTATGGAGTCTACCCCACGGTGAGTTACAGTTTATAGCGATCATACTTGTTTGTTAATGTTATTCAAAGACTTGAGTAAATATGTACAAATTTTGAGATCTAACGTGTGCTTAGTAACTCCACATCTAAGACTATACAATTTATNTTTTACCGAAGTCAGCCCTATAGCTTCGGCGCAGTGCCGATCACTGACGTTTGTCAACAAAATGGTGCTTGACTCTTGAGACAGGCTAAATTACACCATATTGTTAATGACATTGAGCATACATTTTTTTAAATACTTTCGCGAAGTAAAACTTCTGTACGTAGTACTTATTATTATTCTGTGGTTGTAGTGACGCGACTTTGTACGTCTGCTTGCAACATACAAAACGATGTAACTCTGTCGACGGAGCAGCGGTGTCATTTACGCGACATTGTATGCAGGCGGTACACCAAGTGTATAAAGATGCGTACGACACTATAATAAATGTTTCTTTCTCTCTATACCGCCATGAACAGTGACGCTTGAAAATATGGACATATTCTTTTCTTCTAATTGATCGATTGTCTCTTTTCAGGTCCCTGCCGCGTTACCGCCCGGCTACGCTTACTTCTACCAGCCTCCACCTACCACGTACCAGTATGGAGTCTACCCCACGGTGAGTTACAGTTGATAGTGATCACACTTGTTTGTTAATGTTATTCAAACTTGAGTAAATATGTACAAATTTTGAGATCTAACGTGTGCTTAGTAACTCCACATCTAAGACTATACGATTTATATACTGGTTATAGAAATTTTGACCTCTGTCCTCCTTCGATTGTTCCCCATTTCATTCCAAGGACCCGTAATCGAGTTTCACAATCCTCTTGCTTGGTGATCGCAGTCTAGACTTGGGGATCGACGTAGACTTTTACTTAACCTGTCACTGTATCAGTCTCCAAAGCAGAGGTTTCCATACTGAGTACGGGCCACGGCATAATTATGCTGAGTGGAGTTCCATTGCGATAGGCATACGATACGCTGTTGTGACAGGGTGGCACTGCTCAGTTCACTTTTTATTTACTTGTAATATTTATGTGCTGTCTTGTCTTTTTTTCCGTATACCTTTTTTGTCCTTAATTAAGTGATGTTAATCGTAATAAATGTTTCTTTCTTTATTTCTATACTTATCCGTTTTATCACGAGAACCCCAGATTTTTTTCACTACCCCAGTTTTCAATAAACCTCCTCTAGACCTCTCGTATGCTATGAGTACTGATCACTGCGATACAATGATTGAACGTAGTTCGTAATTGTTTTCCAACGAGGGTTTTCGCGATTGAAAAATCCGCCAGATGGCTAATGGCCGTCCAAATGCTGCATGATTGGTTATTTTTGATATGACATTGACAGATATGTCAAAATCCACCAATCATGCAGCATTTGGACCTCGCGTCTACGTATTGCCATCTGGCAGATTTTTCATTCTCGAAAACCCTCATTAAAGGGCATTCACTAATCTGTGAGCGCTGTTGGCAATCTAAAGGTTAATACAGGTGGCCATTATTCTTCATTATCTTCTCGCATCTTAACCTGTATTTGTATTTTGTTGTATTCCAGTACGGCGGCGGCTCGAGCGTTACAGGCGTGGGCGGCGTGACGGGCGTAGGCGGCGTCGGCGGAGCAGCCGGCAAGGTGTCCACCTACACGCAGCAGCAGCCGCCCTACGACGCGCAGGACTCGTACAAACCTGGTGCGTGGGAATGTTAAAAGTTAAATGTTAAAGAAAGTATAGTTCGAGAGGCGTAAGATGAGCTTTGCGTTTGTGTTAGGCCCAGAACAAACGGTGAAACGCAACTGCAACGAAACTGCAACTGATGGTTACTTTTGAGTTGCATCTAATTTTCTGCCATACGGACGGAGAGACCACACATGACGCGACCAGTTTGAAACTTTCAGTTTCATTCATAAGAATCATCAGAAACTTGCAGCTTCGTTCCAGTTGCGTTTCACCGTCTGTTCTGGACCTTAGCAGGCCTGGCTCACTCCGCGCGGNTCTAGACTTGGGGATCGACGTAGACTTTTACTTAACCTGTCACTGTATCAGTCTCCAAAGCAGAGGTTTCCATACTGAGTACGGGCCACGGCATAATTATGCTGAGTGGAGTTCCATTGCGATAGGCATACGATACGCTGTTGTGACAGGGTGGCACTGCTCAGTTCACTTTTTATTTACTTGTAATATTTATGTGCTGTCTTGTCTTTTTTTCCGTATACCTTTTTTGTCCTTAATTAAGTGATGTTAATCGTAATAAATGTTTCTTTCTTTATTTCTATACTTATCCGTTTTATCACGAGAACCCCAGATTTTTTTCACTACCCCAGTTTTCAATAAACCTCCTCTAGACCTCTCGTATGCTATGAGTACTGATCACTGCGATACAATGATTGAACGTAGTTCGTAATTGTTTTCCAACGAGGGTTTTCGCGATTGAAAAATCCGCCAGATGGCTAATGGCCGTCCAAATGCTGCATGATTGGTTATTTTTGATATGACATTGACAGATATGTCAAAATCCACCAATCATGCAGCATTTGGACCTCGCGTCTACGTATTGCCATCTGGCAGATTTTTCATTCTCGAAAACCCTCATTAAAGGGCATTTACTAATCTGTGAGCGCTGTTAGCAATGTAAAGGTTAATGCAGGTGGCCATTATTCTTCATTATCTTCCCGCATCTTAACCTGTATTTGTATTTTGTTGTATTCCAGTACGGCGGCGGCTCGAGCGTTACAGGCGTGGGCGGCGTGACGGGCGTAGGCGGCGTCGGCGGAGCAGCCGGGAAAGTGTCTACGTATACGCAGCAGCAGCCTCCCTACGACGCGCAGGACTCGTACAAACCTGGTTAGTATTATAGATAAATAATACTTTGGGCTTGATCCCACTTAGAGCTCTTTTTCTCTCTCAAAATTGGACTGCCATGGGAATAGAATTTAGACAGACCCATCTGTTTTCTTAGTCCGTCTGAAGAGATTGATAAGCCAGTGGCAGTATAATTTATTTGACACGTTTAACATTTAGACGGACCGACGGGAACAGACCCATACTTTTTATTCCACATTCGATAGTACGTCGGACTTGTAGTATGTGTACGCGCCAAACCTATATATTTGACGTTGCTGCGTAAACTGACACACACAATATACTCGCATCGTACAGTATAAACTACTTTCATTGACAACTCCCGGTCCCCACATTACAAAATATTGTGCGGCGTTCGGGTGTTTAAATTCGAAGAGAAATTACCGGATTTATCTTTTTTTTTCGCTTCCCAAAGATGCTGAAAGGTATGTTGGCCATGTAGGTAATCAATAATAAAATTCTTAGGATAGTATAGGATTCTTTATTTTTCTGTAATAGTATGTTTAATTTATCTGTCTTATGTTAAAATAGGTAGGTATGAATGAAGACATTGTAATAGAACAAGTTTTTTTAATCCTAATTAGGTATATTTGAAATGTTATTTTTACTAACCTACATACGTACCTCATTACAAATAAGTAGATTAATTATTTTTTCACTAGACAGCAACCCTAACAGCGTAAGAAGAGTTCAGAGGCACGCGATAGAAAGAGACAAAACTTGTAGGTGAATAAAATTGTAGGTACGTAGTGCTGTGCGAGCTGAATTCCACTGTATCGCGTCGCAGCAAGACTCGCATTTATTTAAATCGTCGTGCGGAGTAATCCTTCTGTACCTGTACTATTACTTATTCTGTGACCTTAGTGAACATTAGAAGTAGCTAGACAAAAAACTTAAAAAATAGCCTAAGTGATAGAATGGAAAAATTTAACAAAAAAAAATACTAACAATTAAAAACGTCACGCTGTTCTTAGTACAAGAGGTGATAATTCACAGATTTGCGCCTTAGACCGATTTGCAAAAAGCGGTAATATAAACTGTCACCCCTACACTACTATCCTAGTGCATTCACACAAATGCAAAGCTCGGATTAGGTCTCGCGAACTGTAAGCCCCGCCCTTCTGGTGGGCTGTCCCACATAAACATTTCCCGACGGAAAAAATGTGGGATTACTAATGTATTGTTGAACCTCAACTTTGAACTACTATGTTCTGATTAATTTCGTTGCGGGTCCAATGATAGTTTAACTTTCCCCCGGAACAAACTTGACCTTCACTGTTTAGGTTGTCAAAATATAGATCCTGGCTACACAAGAGGTTACATGAGTTACAGCGGTGGGAACTTCTTCCTCGGTCCCTCACTGGTGAGGATCGCGACCACAGATAGTGTTTCTCCACAGACGCGGTCATAACCTGTGCGGACGAGAGGTGGGAATATTCCCGTTTTAATCATTTTTTTGTTTTCAGGCGGCCCGTACTCGGGCGGCGGCAGCAAGGCGGGCGGCGGCGCGGCCGAGCTTACCAACGCCATGTACAAGACGCACGTCGCCCTCAACAAGGTCAACGTGAGTACACAAGCACTATGCGCTCCCCTGACAACATAGGACACTGCCAATCCATGTAAAGTCCGGTCGCCGAATATAAAGAACTAACATTCCGCCCGCGGCTTCGCCCGCGTCGAATTTTGTCTGTCACAGATAAACTTTATCGCGCGTGTCCCTGTTTCAAAAACCGGGATAAAAACTATCCTATGTCCTTTCCCGGGACTCAAACTATCTGTATGCCAAATTTCATTAAAATCGGTTCAGTGGTTTAGGTGTGAAAGAGAGACAGACAGACAGAGTTACTTTCGCATTTATAATATTAGTTTAGATTTCGTCCAATGACCCCAAACTACCCATCCTTATCACTCGCGTGTAATTATATTACTGTCGCGCTCGCAAACTCACTGCGGGCGCCCGTAGCACAGTCGCGACAGCAATATAATTACGCGCGAGCGATAAGGATGGGTAGCTTGGGGTCATTGGACGAAATTCTATCTGCTCGGCGACCGGACTTTAGTATCAAAAAACTCCATTTATTGAACAGCCATTCAATTTGGTTGACAAAATTAATCAAAGCTTTAGAATTTTGGTAGCTTTGAAATCAACTTCTAATTTACAAAAAGCAAATAGACGAAAGATATTGGTCCTTGTAAGAACATCATAGATAGAGAGAGAGACAAAACCCTATTGCCATGCTTTTTATGAACTGTCAGAAAATCGCCATCCATACATTTTGTAAAGCAAAAAACAAGCTATGGCTTTTGACTAATTTTAAATATTGATGTCAAAGCTACTAAATATCTTACCTATGCTTATGTAAATAAGTTATTGATCAATCAATGACCTAATGAAAAATATCTCAGTTTAGGACAGATAAATCATGTAGTCATAAGAATACTTGCATAACTCGTTTGTTAAAACAAAATTAACTGTTAATTAATCCTATTGAGCTCTATAAATTGCTCTTATGTTTGAATAAAACATATTTTCAGTAATGTAGTAGGCATATTTATGTATTATGATTTTATGAAAGCTTTCGATAGGCATTTAGCAGAAGTGTGTTTGATATTGATTTGCATTTTGTTTTGGCCATGTTTGATGGTGATGGGTTGACATGCTGAAGAGAATGTGTATGCCATGTTTGAGAATTTGAGTGGTAGTTTTGAAACTTTTATAAAAGCGAGTCAAGATTATTTATAAATATTTATTTGAATAATTTTAAATGTCGTATGTGTTTATTTTCTTCTTCATTAGGTGTTCAATGTAGTCGATTTGTTTATTTACCGTGTGTCAATGAAAACAGAAACTTTGAATAAATGATGCTGATGACATACTTTTGAAAATAATCAGAGATGTCGCATAAATCTTAAATCTTACACCATTAAGCATGTAAATCCATTACGATTTAAATGTGGCGCAAAATAAAATATTAATTTTTGAGCATAAAGAGCCTCGATCGTGGAGCTTTGGTAAGCTTCATAAAGAGCTTAGGTTCCCTATGCAGTTGACTCCTCTGAATAAATGATCATTCCATCATTGATACGGCAGTATCTACGCTCCTGCCTGGTTCACCACCGTATAGACGACAAAAATCGAGATTTGGAATAATAAATTAATAATAATAATGACTTAAAAAACAATAGGAATGAGCATAGCCATGTATTGTGTGATACGCTGCGCGCGCTGGTAGTCCTAGGCTGTACGGGTGCGGGTGTTTCAGAGCTACGACAAGGCGGCGTTCCACAGCGGCACGCCGCCGCCATTCGGCGCCGGCTCGCACCTCTACATCCCGGCGCCGCCGCACCATCCGCACCACCACCACCACAGCGCGCACTCGCAGCACCAGGTGAGCGCACCACCCTCCACAACATGTACACACCGCACGCTCCACAGCGGCTCGCACCTGCACATCCCGGCGCCGCCGCACCATCCGCACCACCACCACCACAGCGCGCACTCGCAGCACCAGGTGAGCGCACCACCCTCCACAACATGTACACACCGCACGCTCCACAGCGGCTCGCACCTGCACATCCCGGCGCCGCCGCACCATCCGCACCACCACCACCACAGCGCGCACTCGCAGCACCAGGTGAGCGCACCACCCTCCACAACATGTACACACCGCACGCTCCACAGCGGCTCGCACCTGCACATCCCGGCGCCGCCGCACCATCCGCACCACCACCACCACAGCGCGCACTCGCAGCACCAGGTGAGCGCACCACCCTCCACAACATGTACACACCGCACGCTCCACAGCGGCTCGCACCTGCACATCCCGGCGCCGCCGCACCATCCGCACCACCACCACCACAGCGCGCACTCGCAGCACCAGGTGAGCGCACCACCCTCCACAACATGTACACACCGCACGCTCCACAGCGGCTCGCACCTGCACATCCCGGCGCCGCCGCACCATCCGCACCACCACCACCACAGCGCGCACTCGCAGCACCAGGTGAGCGCACCACCCTCCACAACATGTACACACCACACGTACACTAAGGCGATTATCACACTGCGCCGCGCTCCGCCGCGGTACGCGGAGCGACAGATTTAATCATTGTATGCAAGTACCTCAGTTTGTATAGAAAACACGCGCGGCACAACACACTGACAACACGTCTGCGCGCGGGATTTTTTTATATGAAATCACGCGGACCGCGGCGGAGCGCGGCGAAGTGTGATAACCGCCTATGTTGGCAGTAGCAGACTGTAAGACACCCCGCAGACCAAGGACTTTAAGAGGGTCTGCTTCCAATTTGTATGGAAGAATCGGCCGATACCCATACAAATGGTGTAATGCAGTGTTTTTCAACCTGTGGGTCGCGAGAGGTCGTAAAAACTACCTCAGTAAAAAATCATTACTTATAAAGACAGATTTATCCGAAATCTGTATCCGTATTCGATCCCTACGAACATTTTTGTAACATTATAAAATGCATGAAAAAAAGCGAACGCTCGGGGGGTCGCCAAATATTTTTTTCATACTAGAGGGGTTGTGTCATGAAAATGGTTGAAAAACACTGGTGTAATGTGAGCACTTCCATACAAGTTCATACTGATTAAGCCTAGCCGCAGACTACAGACTTTTTGTCGGGCTGTTAATCAGTATGGATAAGTAAGAAAGTGCACATATTGGTATCAGCCGATTCTCCATACAAATTAGAATCGGGCCCAACTATCGGCCGACAAAAGAAATATGCACCATCCTAGACTACATCTCACTTAACACCAGGTGCGATTGCGGTCAAATACCTGCCTTGTTATGCATAAAAAATGTTTATAGTCTGCCTACGGGGAGTCTAACAGCCCGACTGCCTAAAGGTCACAAGACCCGGTCCATCCGTCATTGTCCAACGTTTTACACTCACAGACACACACGTTAACCCGTTAAACGTATAGGGCCCACTTGCATAACTACATTGTAAGAAGTACATATATACAGTGTGTCCGGGCATGTAGTGATCAAACTTTAAGGGCGTAATCTATGGACAATTTTATCGGTGAAAATACTTTAAAGAAGAACGGTCACGCCCCATACAAAAAAAACCCAGACCCGACAGAAACGAGACATACCTCAGTTTTTTTGTCACGTCTTAATTAGTTAAATTATATATTTTTTATATTCGAAATTTATGTATAACACCAAAATATTACCCTTTGTTTTTGTTTAGGCGTTATACAAAAACTAATACAAAATGCTTATTTATCACCAAAATTGGTAAATGTATGTACCTAAATGTCTATTACAGCTGCTATGGAATGTATCTAGGTGACCTGGAGATACAGCCGGATTATACAGGGTGGTTATACATATGGAACGATAAGTGATCTCACTCGATTATTTCTAAACTATACAAGATATCAAAAAACTAGTTACTGATTCTGAAAGTGCTTCACGAGCTCTTTCAAATGGTACCAATAATAGGGTACAGATTATGAAAGCTGGTAACATTGAATTTTTGGATTTTGTAACTTATTATTTTTTCCACCCTGTATAATCCGGCTGTATCTCTAGGTCACCTAGATACATTCCATAGCAGCTGTAATAGACATTTAGGTACATACATTTACCAATTTTGGTTATAAATAGGCATTTTGTATTAGTTTTTGTATAACGCCTAAACAAAAACAAAGGGTAATATTTTGGTGTTATACATAGATTTCGAATATAAAAAATATATAATTTAACTAATTAAGACATGACAAAAAAACTGAGGTATGTCTCGTTTCTGTCGGGCCTGGGTCACAGATGACCGTTCTTCTTTGGGGCTTGACCCATTTCTCGCATATTTACAAGGATTTAAGTTTTTAATTTTAAGTTTTCACCTCTTCCTTCAAAAACAAGTGATAGGGTGGGTAGTTTAACATTAATAAGCAAAAATTTTATATCATGCGATAGCCAATAAAATTATCTACTAGTAGAAGTAGAAAACAGACACAAGTTTCATACATTTTAAGGGAGTAAGAATGGATTTAATTTAAGGGGTATCTTTGTTCAACAATTACGTCAAAACTAATAGACGTAGACTAATAAATTTACATTCGTTTTGTAGAATAGCTCAAATACTAATAATAAAATGCAAATAAAACATACCTTAACGACCTGGTTTTTCTTGTGTTGGGAAATAACTGAAAAAGNACTGCATCTAACTTAACACCAGGTGCGATTGCGGTCAAATACCTGCCTTGTTATGCATAAAAAATGTTTATAGTCTGCCTACGGGGAGTCTAACAGCCCGACTGCCTAAAGGTCACAAGACCCGGTCCATCCGTCATTGTCCAACGTTTTACACTCATTTACACTCACAGACACACACGTTAACCCGTTAAACGTATAGGGCCCACTTGCATAACTACATTGTAAGAAGTACATATATATACTTTGGGAGTATACCTAAAGTAAGAAATGTTTGTACTAAGGACAACAGGTACAAACATAGTGACAAAAGTTTATCAGTTGTGCCAAAATTGGTCAATAGCTATGAATAATAATTTGGGTTGAATTTATATTTACTTTAAAAAAAAAGGTTTTTAAGCAACTGATAAAACAGTGCAAGTGGGCCAAAAGCGAATAGTTGATACACATGACAAAATTAAATACAAAACAAACCCAGTAATAATAAGTTAATATAGATTTAGTTATTTATTACTTAATTAAGCATCTCTTTCATATATCAATAAATTCGCTGCATTGCACACGTTTTAAGCCTAAAAAACATTGCAGCAGTATCCCTAATAGTTTCAAAACATTTCATGAAAGATTTAATTTTTTGAAATATTAAAGTATCACAAAATTTCATACACTCAATATAAATTGTATATAAGTACGCCTTGACTCCACCGACGCATGCGAATAGTAAAGAGTTTGAACGGCATGCGTCTAGTTTGTATTTTTTACTTTAATATTACATTCTTAGAGTATGCTTTCGTTTGTAGATGGATGCCAGGGTGAACAGTAGTCATAATAGGCGGGTAAGTTAATATGTACATCGTATATGTTTATCGCACCGTATATATTTATATGACGTATATATACCGCACGTGTTTGCCATGCTATGTATCTAACCGTATGTAGTTATTACCCGCCTTTTCAATTGCATGTGTTTTTTATTTTTATTTATTGAGCATCCTTTTGTTTCGCTTTTTGTATGTCCGTCGAATGATAGAAAGCTTATCCCTTTATTAAAAAAAAAAACAGTAGAATAGTGTTAGTTACTAATCTAATACTCTTAACTTTCTGGCAAATTAATGTCATTTTCGCTGTTATGAAAAGCGAAAAATCTATATTTAACGCAAAACCGTGTTTTAGAAAGAAAGTTTCAATTATTACGAACATAAATACCCAGTCGCGAAAAGGGTTGGCTATAATGTTTAACAAATTATTTATAAATAGCCCAGAGTTTGCTATGTTTTGTGTGCATGTGCTTGTCTATGACTGTGATTGTGCATAGTACAGTCAGCGTCAAGTAGTTCATGACACCCAAAGTACCCAAAGAGTTCGCAACACGTCTTTGTTGGAATAAAGTTGTGTTGTCTACTTTAGGTGTCACGATTATTTGACGTTGACTATACGACTATCCGTGGTGTATTTGTACATTTATTTATGTCGCAAGTGTCAAACTTTCCTTTAGAAGAGATTGCTATTGTGATTGTAGCTTCGTAATACGGATGTTACAAATTGACCATGTATAGTCATGGCGCAAGTACACTATGCTGAAAAACCGAGACGAAGTGCGAACCCGCTCACCGAAGTATGGGCGACGCACGGGTAAAAGTAACCGAGATGGTGTTTACACTATTACGTCTATGTCAATTTCCCGCATAGTGTACTTGCGCCATCACAAGGCATTCATCGATTTAAATGAGCTTCAGTCTTTTTATTTGAGTGTTCATATTATATCAGTTTAATGCCGTGCTTACGTACTATTTTTGATTAGTTTTTCTTAGGTGTCCGTCTACCTTTTGTTTATATTTTAATGCTATATTTGTCTATCTATATCATATCGTGCGACAATAATCTACAGTCCATTGAACTTTTTACGAATATTTGATTCGTAATTGGTTCACATTGGAGAGTTTTGGGCGATAATTTAAAGGTTTGCAACGTGATCTAAGTTACTAACATTGTTAGTAATAAAATTATTATGTAGCTTACTGGTTGCACTACGCAAACTAACTTCAGCTCGAAATTATTAAATGTTTCAAAACTCGATACAAATTCAAGCTTCAAGCTCTTTGGTTGAATCCCAATGTTTGCTTGAATTGAAACTTGAGTTCGAATCGAGCATTGAGCTTTAAATGGCCCTCAGCTTCGTTATAGGTCTACAACCTACAACAGGCCTAATTCTCGCAACCAGAAAAGCTTCCCAAGACTAAGCAAAAATTGCGACAGTTTTGACGCCCAAATCGCTGCGATCCGATTTTTTATGTACACGTCGAATATAACAGAATATTAGCTATTTCAATGAATGTGGTTATGGCGCAGTTACACCATGCGGAAAATTGATCGAGACATAATACAAACACGCACTTCAGTTAGTTTTGCGGTGCGAATATTGGCCCATTTACTGTCCCGAAGCAGTGGTAGGGTTAATACTGGGACGTGTGAAAGTGCTTTTTAAAAGTCTATTTGCAAAAATAAATGAGTTTTGTGAGTTTTTTTTTATGAGTTTTTACTTCGATGCTCGCACTTCTTCTCGGTCAATTTCCGGCATAGTGTATCTGCGCCATTACAAAATATGAACGTGTTCGACATTATTCTGCCACAATTCGCTTCGTCAAGCAATCGCAATACTCTGTTGCGACTAATGCCAAGTCTAGGGCAGCTTTCTGTGTATCCTCTGCGATGTGTACCAAGTGTATTGTTTATCCCCAGGAGAGCGGAGCGGGCGGAGGCCGCGCGGCCGCGTCCAAGCAGCCGTCGAGCAAGCCCACCTACTCGCAGTCCTACTGGACGCCCAACTAGGCGCCGCACAGGTGAGATATAAAAAAAAAAAAAAAATTCATTTATTTCAGGCCAGGGCCCATAAAATTTCAATAATAATAATAATTGCATTAAATAATTAAAATCTCATATTAAATCAATAATAATAATAATGGAGACAAATAAATTAAATTAAAACATCAAAATTTAATGAAAAGATTTAAATAAAAAATTAAATTAAATAAAAAATAAATTAAACATTAAAATAATAAATAAAATTACAATCTAAATTTAAATAATAAATAAAATTACAATCTAAATTTAATCGATATACAGAGCCTGTAGCCTTATTCACGTAACAAAACATCAATCGCTGAATGCGATCCTATCGAGTAATCGTTCTATAGTAATGACCCTTGTGAATACGGATTTAGAACTGTTTTTCAATGGGACGACTTTTGAACGTCAGCGAGATCTTGACTGTCAAAATACGTGAATTAGGCCACTAGCCACACTGGCGGATTGCGAGCGTTTTCAAAGCGTTGCGGCGATGCAGCGTACACGCGTTTCCGCGGCGAAGACGTCGCGGTTGCGCGGCGAACACGAGACGAAAACTCTAGGCGGAAACTTTGCGCATTTGCAATGTATTCGCCGCGTCGTCGCTCCGCTTTGAAAACGCTTGCAATCCCCCAATGTGGCAGCTCACTAAGTATACATTTACTAAAGCCTGGTCCGTGAGCACGTAGAATCCCGTCCAATGACCCCAAGCTACCCATCCCTATCGCTCGCGTGTAATTATATTGCTGTCGCGCTCGCACACTCACTGCGGGCGCCCGTCGCACAGTCGCGACAGCAACATAATTGACAGTTTGACACCATACCCCAATAATTCGAAACTACAACTGTTTTAAAAAGACTCTTCATTCTGGTCTTAAAAACCTAATTTATTTTAAATTACCTGTAAATTAAGATTTTTGGTTGCATTGTAATTAAAAAAAGTAGTTTAATTGGGTTGATAAAATAGTGACGTCACTTGCTTGTAGTGCCATACAAAATCTATGGGATAGTTTCGTTTTGTGACAGTTTTAAAAAGTACGTCAATTGATTGTGGTGTCAACATGTCTATTACGCGCGAGCGATAGGGATGGGTAGCTTGGGGTCATTGGACGGGATTCTACGTGCTCACGGACCAGGCTTTATACGATACTCATCCCACATCTTTTTCCCACCACTGGGGCACACCACCACATAAGTCGAACCACAGACGGGGCCGGTGCCGCAACAATATGCCCAAAAACAGAACACATTGCTCGTGACAATAATGATGACAGCAGCGACGTCATAATGTAAACGTCAATATTCGAACGTTGAGTACTGATACCGCAGTGGATAATGAGCACATATTTTGATTACTTTGTGTATGTGAATTTCTAATGCGACACTGAGTTTCGAACTCAGCGCATTAGTTGGCATCTCTCTATATCTCTATGATGCGGAGTCTCGAAATGTAAAATGTGTGCTGATGCAATTGTTTTCTTGTCCGCAGGTACTAAACTTCACATGTACATAGATAATGGCGCTCGCGCCCCCTCAAGAGAGCAGTCAATTGTCGGCGCCGCCGACTCACGCCACTGTATTATAACAGAGGAACGAAACTATGTTGATAACTTTACTTTACTATTCCTTTAAATTTACCGTGCACCGGCGCCGAGCGGACGCCTTCGGACGCCGGACGACGCGGCCGGACGCGCCCGGACGCCGGACACTCGAGGCCAGCCCTCGAAAGACTCGCCGTAGGTTACGATTGTTTAAAAAATTAACTGTAGTGCTATGTATATCTTATCTTTATATATAATATGTATATGTATGTAAGCGTTTGGTACGCTATGCGCGCCGAATTTTTTTGTATTTAGTTGTCAAACTTTTTGTAATTACATTATTATTATTATTAAAATGTCAAATAGTTGATAATATAATCGTATTAAACGGTACCGTAATAATAGTCGAGCTCTTTTTTATGTGAAAGAATGCTGTTGTGATGATCTCGCGGGCATTTGAAAGTATGAGGGAATTACACGTATTGGAACTTGCTATGTTTTGTTTTACTTTCAAAATACCTTTTCTACGCGTTCACATTTCGGTCTANTCGGTCTATTGACTTCGTTACACTCACTGGCCGTATAGATTAGCCGTTCAGAACCGTTGGAAGACAGTTTTTTAATTTTCAATCATCATAACTTTTTGGGTTTTCTAAGTGCCAATTAGTTCTGGCTGTTTCTTCTTGTCTTATAGGTTTTATGAGATCTGTACATAATAATAATAATGTACATTTTTATTATAATTTAATAATAATGTGAAGGACAATACAAATTACACTTGAACATTGATTGAATATGCAATACCGAGTATGAATAAATATTTTACTAATATCACTTATTAATACTATTTTACCTAAAGTAAATTTATTTATTGCATTGCTAAAATTGTGTACAGAAGGCGGGGCAAGTAGTTCGCATAACATTTCTAGGGTTCCATAACGGAAAGAAAGACACAACAAATACATAATAGTAAAATACATAAGGCCCGGATTCCACCAAGGCGGAGCGAAGCGGAGATGAGAAGTGTTAATAATGAAATCTGATTGGTTTATTATTTTAAGTCTGAAAATTGATTCTCTGATTGGTTATTCAACACACTTCTCAGTTCCGCTTTGGTGGAAACCGGGCCTAACTCTTCCTTATTTACTAAGGAAGAAGTTATGTAATTAGCTTTATGGTAGCATAGCAAAACATCGTGGTCCCTTCACCATTTATCTATATTTAATTATTTACTAAGGCTGAGTTGCACCACCTAACTTAACTTTGACCGTAAAGTAACTATACGGTAACCGGTGCTTTTTTTGCATGGAGTTCGACAGATTTTTGACGTTTGTCAAAGTTAAAGTAAGATGTGCAACTCAGCCTCAGAGTTATATTGCATTAGCTAAAGTAGTTTACTTAATTTACCACAAATAATCGCCCTTTTCTTCTATAACCTATTTTTTCCGAGTATTTTTGAGTTTTACCCTAACTAACATGGAATTCTCGTGTACGTTTTACTATTATTTCTATAACCCGTCATATATACCCGTTGTCCACACAGTGGACCACATTGTCAGCCTCCCTCTGCCGGCCTCGCTTGTCTTTGATCGGGCCTATGCACCACACGTCGTCTATGTCCAACTTGCTGACGCCCTGGAAATAAAGATAAACTGTTATTATCAGTAGTAGTCGAAAAGCAGGATTGTCTGGCGTAAAACCCTTAAGACCAAGAGATTTCTGGACATCAATGTTTTTTTTTTGCTCTCCAAAATGGGAAGCTCTTGGCTTGCATACCTACTTAGTTGCATCTCAACTGATAGAAAGTGATGATCAGGCCGAAGGTGGAGCTTTGTTTATTGAATCGTAAAAATGAGGTTTTTNTCGGTCTATTTACTTCAGTACAATCACTGCCGTATGAATAAGCTTTGTAGAACCGTCGGAAGACAGTTTTTTAATTTTCAATCATCGTTATAACTTTTCAAAGTGCCAATTAGTTCTGGCTGTTTCTTCTTGTCTTGTAGGTTTTATTAGAACTGTAAATAATAATAATAATGTACATTTTTATTATAATTTAATAATAATGTGAAGGACAATACAAATTACACTTGAACATTGAATATGCAATATCGAGTATGAATAAATATTTAACTAATATCACTTATTAATACTATTTTACCTAAAGTATATTAATTTATTTATTGCATTATACTAAAATAGTGTACCTACAGAAGGCGGGGCAAGTAGTTCGTATACATTTCTAGGGTCCCATAACGGAAAAAATACAACAAATACATAATAGTAAAATACATAAGGCCCGGATTCCACCAAGGCGGAGCGAAGCGGAGATGAGAAGTGTAAATAATGAAATCTGATTGGTTTATTATTTTAAGTCTGAAAATTGATTCTCTGATTGGTTATTCAACACACTTCTGATCACTTCTCTGTTCCGCTTTGGTGGAAACCGGGCCTAACTCGTAGTTAGCTACCATAAGCATAGCAAAACATCGTGGTCCCTTCACCATTTATGTACATATATTTAATTATTTACTAAGGCTAAGTTGCACCACCTAACTGATCGTAACTAACCATAACGGTAACCGGTGCTTTTTGCATGGAGTTTGACAGATTTTTGACGTTAGTCAAAGTTAAAGTAAGATAGTGCGACTCGGCCTCAGAGTTATATTGCATTAGCTAAAATAGTTTAACACAAATAATCACCCTATTATTCTATAACCTATTTTTTTCCGAGTATTTTTTAGTTTTACCCTAACTAACATGGAATTCTCGTGTACATTTTGCTATTATTTCTGAAACCCGTCATATATACCCGTTGTCCACACAGTGGACCACATTGCCAGCCTCCCTCTGCCGGCCTCGCTTGTCTTTGATCGGGCCTATGCACCACACATCGTCTATGTCCAACTTGCTGACGCCCTGGAAATAAAGATAAACTGTTATTATCAGTAGTAGACGAAAAGCAGGATTGTCTGGCGTAAGACCCTGAAGACTAAGGGATTTCTGGACATCAATGATTTTTTTTGTTCTACAAAATGGGAAGCTCTTGGCTTGCATAGTTGCATCTCAACTGATGGAAAGTGATGATCAGGCCGAAGGTGGAGCTTTGTTAATTGAATCGTAAGAATGATTGAGTTTTTTGATGAGTTTTGAGTTTTTTTGAGGTTTTTAATGACATTTACCTTAACTTCCATATCGATAGCATCTTCGGGCGTCAGTATGATCATCGGAGTAGACTCGAAGCTGAACGCCAGTCCAAAGTACGAATACTTTTTAATTTCCTCCTTGAATAAACCCCACGGATACAACTTCTCGGGATCACTGCCCATCTCCACGATTTGTTTAGAGAGCACATCATAATAAAACCTTAGCAGTTCTTCATAGTGTTTCAGCCTCAAATCCTGACTCGTGCACGCGTAAAACATAAACGCAATATCCAACACCGGTGTCGCACACCGTGTCAACTGAAAGTCAATGATCTTGGCATCAACTGGAGTCCCGTTCTCGTATTTAAACAGGAAGTTGTTGGTCCAAGAATCCCCGTGGGATATGACCCCAGTGACACTTCGCGTAGCCGCCTTTATCATGTCATCGTACCGTTCTGGCACACAGAACTGTTTAATCTTCTCCACGTAAACAGAATCCGGATATTCCCGCTCTACCGCGTCGATCGCTATACCACATATCCGCTTCCAAAAACGCCGGTACCAATTTCGCAAACGCTCGTGGTAGTACACCTCGAATATGTGATGCCTTATGTCCTCGAATTCCTCAGGGTTTTGGTCCTTCATCGCAAAAGAGATAGCGTGGAACTGCGCCAAGGATTTCAAAGTTTGTTGGCAATGCGCTAGATCTATTCCCTCTTGGCGAACAGCGCCTCCAAAGTTTTCTAGCGATGCATCTTCCAAGCATATGACGTCGTTTGTGCCGTCGCAATGAGCGAAGAACAGTTTCACGTAGCTATCGAAAGGTTCGCTGAGTTTCTTCTTAGCTTGGAACTCCAATAATGCAGGCAAGACTTTGACGTAAAAATTGATTTCGTTCTGGAAGAATTCGTGGCTCTTGAATGTGAGTCGTCTAGCTACACTGCTAGGCATGGTTTTTAGGATAACTTGGACGTTTTTAGAAACGCCATGTTCGTTATTGCCGTATATCCGAATGCGCATCAAGTCGCTGAGGTACGAATCGCCTTTCCCTGTGTCGCTTACATACTGGAAAATATATTAATATTTGTATTAGGACATGTTTAGGGCTTAGTGAATTTCATAGGTACCCATGATGTTAAGTTGATTAAAAACGTGAGCTAATAGCAAATAAATCTGCAAATGGAAAGATAACAGTAAGTGTGTACTTGAAAGTAGTGTGGAAAACTAGAAATCAATGTCATTTGAATTTGAAGGTCACAACAATGCTGCACTATGAACACTCTACTTTTGCATGCATATCTAGGAACATTATTTGCCTCCTTAGTATAGTAGGGTTGACTAATCAAATAAAATAAGCAATCAGTACATAATCAATCATTTGCACAATTCTTGTTGCCATAATGATGCATTATGTACGTACAGCTATTAGCAAATTTTTAATTAATTTAAATTTACTGAGTTTGATAATCAAAAATGATTCTAATCAAGATTAAATTAATAAACTTTATGGTCCTACCTGCCAGTGAGTGAATGTGCATGGTTCTTCAAACCACTTAGTGAGGGCTTCTCTCAACGTCTCCGGAGTAAGCACTGGAGACACTTGGATCAGGGAGCTTTGATCTTCATTCGACATCGTAGGCTGGAATAATTATAATATAGAAGGCTAAATACAAATACCTGCATTTATTTGTTGAAACTTTCATCATCATCATTTCAGCCGTAGGACGTCCACTGCTGAACATGGGCCTCCCCCAATGACTTACATATTTACCAACCGGTCATTCATTATGGAAGTAACTTGATGTTATTACAAAGTTAATCACATACAATATTACAGCATGCATGTAATAATTTTAGACTTCTGTTTCTACTGAAAGAAATTGTGGCTAACTTACATGCATGAATTAGATAACTGTGTACTTACAGAGTTAGTGAAGTAAACTATTGTATTGTGGTGGGGAGAATAGAATGATGATTACTCAACTATTATCTACTTATTTTATAGCTAGCCAATCAAATGAGTATGATGTGGTAGGAACTTTGTTTTGAAGCACTTGAAAACTGCTATATTCTATATAGTGGCTATTTCAAATGGATCTATATATTACAAGTACCTATTGTGGATCTAAATAACTTTGTTGATTGAATAATTGCGTTTGCGGTGTCGCTCTTATCTCGCGCTGTTTAATTTTTATTGAGGACAAGTATGTAGAGGAAACGGATGTGTTTATGTTTTTGAAGCGCGGGCCGCAAGATACAAAAACACAGCTAATTTAAAAACCCATTATTTGTTTGTTATCAACGAAGAAGTATAATTCTCTGGAAAGTGGTTAGGTTATAATTTTGACACTAATGACATAACTTAAGTGACGTAGGAGCAAATGACACTGAAGGTTGGTATTCTCGGCTATACATACTTTGGCCAAAATGGCCAAATAGCTGCAGGCTATCCGTTACTGTAATCATTTGACACTTGACATTCCTTCCTTANCTTAGGGAATTTCATAGGTACCCATGATGTTAAGTTGATTAAAAACGTAAGCTAATAGCTAATAAATCTGCAAATGGAAAGATAACAGTAAGTGTGTACTTGAAAGTAGTGTGGAAAACTAGAAATCAATTTCATTTTAATTGAAGGTCACAATTCTGCACTATGAACACTCTACTTTTGCATGCATATCTAGGAACATTATTTGCCTCCTTAGTAGGTTGACTAATCAAATAAAATGAACAATCAGTACATAATCAATCATTTGCACAATACTTATTGCCATAATGATGCTTTATGTATGTACAGCTATTAGGAAATTTTTAATTAATTTAAATTTTCTGAGTTTGCTTATTAAAAATGATTCTAATCAAGATTAAATTAATAAACTTTATGGTCCTACCTGCCAGTGAGTGAATGTGCATGGTTTTTCAAACCACTTAGTGAGGGCTTCGCTCAACGTCTCCGGAGTAAGCACTGGAGACACTTGGATCAGGGAGCTTTGATCTTCATTCAACATCGTAGACTGGAATAATAATTGAAAGGATAGGGGACTAAATTAACACCTTTGTATTAATTCAAACTAACACTTGATGTTATTGTAATAAAGTTTATCAAAGTTTATCACAATATTGGAGAATGCAATATTGGAGGATGCAATAAACAACTCTGTACTTACAGTTTGCAGCGAAGTAAACTATTGTAGGCAGATTAGAATGATGATTGCTGAACTATCTAAAAGCTACCCAATCTAATGACTATGATGTGGCAGGAACTTAGTTTTAGCACTTGAAAACTGCTATATTCTAGTGGCTATTTCCAATGGATCTATAAATTACAAGTACCTATTGTGGATAACTTGTTCTTGATTGAATAATTGCGTTTGCGGTGTCGCTCTTCTCACGCGCCGTTTAATTTTTGTTGAGGACAAGTATGTAGAGGAAACGGATGTGTTTGTTTTTGAAGCGCGGGCCGCAGGACCCAAAAACTGCTAATTTCAAAACCCATTATTTGCTTGTTGTCTACGAAGAACCTAAATTCTCTGAAAGTGGTTAGGTTATAATTTTGACACTAATGACATTACATAAGTGACGTAGGAGCAAATGACACTGAAGGTTGGTATTCTCGGCTATACATACTTTGGCCAAAATGGCCAAATAGCTGCAGGCTATCCGTTACTTTTGTAATCATTTGACACTTGACATTCCNTTCCTTCCTTATCATTGAAATGTCATTTTTCTAACCTAAAAACTCGTTCAAAGTTTTCTTTGCCGTAAAACTTAGTTTTTACAAATTAAATACGAAAATGACTACAATTAAAGTGAGTGACGAACAGGAAATCATTCGACGATTATCGTCATACGTAGAAAAGATCTCAAATGACGCTATCAACAACCGGGGTAAATTCTACGTCGGCCTCTCAGGTATGTTATCGTTTGGGTTTGACCTCCAACTTATTGAAGTACAAACGTTGATGTTAAAATAGTAAGACACGGGTCTTAACGCGACGTTTATTAATGAGTTACATTATGTACTCACGGCTTAACGTTTCGGCTGCGATGCTGCAGCCGTGGTCACAAGCAGACTGGCGGCTCGCGGCGTCGTCCGTTCGGGCGGGCTCATTAATAAACGTCGCGTTAAGACCCGTGTCTTACTATTTTAATTGAAATGGAACGCGAAAGCTTAAAAACGTTGATGTGTTATAATTGTATTTAACAACTTTTAATGAACACTTCCCAGGAGGTTCTGTGGTAAAATACCTCTGCGAAGGCCTGCCTGCAGTAGACACCGACTGGTCTAAGTGGGTGCTAGCGTTCTGTGATGAGCGAGTGGTGCCTGAAGACAGTGAAGACTCAACATTTGGCACGTACAAGAGACAGCTTATCCCTAAAACAGAACTCAAAGAGAGCCAGTTTGTTGTGATTAAACAGGGTGTAACAGGTAATGTTACTCATCAAATTAAATAAAACAATTTCAAAAATTTAGACTAATTAAATTAGTACTTACAAATCGTCAAATGCTCTTAAGAAGCCTATACATGTCTTATTCTTTTTTGCTCTATCAGCACTTCGAGACATACATTTGGCAAGTACTGAGAAGAAGTGCCATTTTTATTACTTGATTACGGCAAAGCAAAAGAAGGGTTATTGCATAACTACCCACATAAAGATTGTATACTTGATATTTTAAGCTATATTTTGTCTTTTTAGTTGTTTGAATTTGAATGCAATCATACTTTTAGCCATTTGGCATTTATCTATTTAGTACCTACTGCAGTCTTAAAATTACTGACTTGATTTTTCAGCTGAGGAGGCAGCAAAAGATTACACAGAAAAGTTGAAAGTAGCCTTTAATGGAGAAGATTTTAAGTTTGATCTGCTGCTGCTTGGAATGGGCCCAGACGGTCATACATGCTCATTGTTCCCTGGACACCCATTATTGAATGAGGCCTCTTTGAAGGTGGCACCAATCACAGACTCTCCAAAACCACCTCCAAGCAGGGTCACCCTTACTTATCCAGTGGTGAATAATGCTAGGAACTGTATATTTGCCATATGTGGGGCTGGGAAAGCAGATATGGTGAAGGTAATTATTTACTTCTATCACCAATTTCGTTCCCATTGAAAAAGTAGAAAGAGTAAATGATAATAAATATCTTTGGACATTACTTTTCACAGTCACCACTGTCATGTGCCCCATTTGAGGCTAATATAAAAAAAAAACAGTCTGGTACATGTTTTTTTTTTCTTAAAAATATATTAGTATCATGCTGAAGATACTGTTTGATAACAGTGAAGTGTATTACTGTAAGATATGCAACCATTATTATTCTGTGACTCAATTTACCATAAGGACTACTGTTTCAGCGCATTTTGAAGGACAAGGAGGATCTCCCAGCCGGTCGTGTGAAGCCTGCAAGTGGCGCTCTCTATTGGATCGTAGATAACGCTGCCGCTGCTCATCTATAGATGGATTGATCATGAAATTGAGAACATTTAAAATGTTTCATTACTAACATTCCATTCTATGAACCATGCGAAACTGTGTTAAAGTGATTGTGATTTACTGTATAAACTATGACTGGCAAATTAGTAAAAACTTAAAAGATCTTTTTATAGCTGATGCTATGTATTTTTTGGTTTGTTTTGGTCTACTAAAACATTAAAATAGCCTTTTTGGTGCTTGAATTTTTGATAAAAGGATTTTTGAAATCCTTAATTGTTTTGGGACCAGCATAAAATATATTTTTTATTACTTTATGGTAAGGGTTTTTTTGAAAAACTAGTTTGGTCAATGATCTGTTTTTGTTTTTTTTATCGTTGTGATAAATACATATTTTCTTTAAAAAAATGTTTATTATTACCATTACTCACCTACTATTAAAACCAAATTGCATTCTGCAATAAATTTGATTAAAATTTCTGGTTAGGTTGTTAGCGCCCTCTATTGAAAATATTTGATAACGCCACTATGAAAACTTGTCACTACTCCACACTAGATGTCGCTATCTACGTATGACGTTCAAGCTTTCGCTTTTCTCCGCTAGATGGTGCTTTATTAAACTTACTACACCCCACTAGATGTCGCTACGCGCACGCTCTCACAAGTGAAAGTGGCGTGCCAGGTGGCGGCCGCGACTGCGGTTGTTGACCGCCAAACGGAGTCGTGACGTAACCGCCGTAATCGCTGACCATCCACGGCATGCAAATACATGCAAAATACGGATCTGATGGCTGCGTGTTTTGGTTCAACAGCTGATAGTCGTGCTGGAAATAGAATAATTGGACTGAAAATTATTCAATTTTAGTCGCAGAATAATGCAGGCTTTCTGCGTAGAGTAAAAAATCTCTACATTTTATTAACAATGTTGCTTTATTCTCTTTTATTATATTTATATTTACCTTGTGTCTATAGATAAAATAATTGTAGAGACTTGAAAGACATTTAGTTATGTACTTACTCAGTAACTGAATACATGTGTCTATGTACTATTACTAAGTATTGGACCACTATTAGATTAGTGCACATCCTGTACCTACACAGGTATATGACGAACTCTGAAAAATGTTTGCCATCATCAAATCAGTAATTTCCATTGCCATTTTTTGGGCCCATTGTCTACGGTTAATCTCATCATATAATCTGAAAAGTTGAATTTACTATTCCTTTCGAGTTCCGTTGCTTGTGTACGTTGGCCTACCAAACGATGCAAATGAACTTATTTAGGTATTGATTTTGATGATAGAGCTGGACAATAGTTTTGAAAATTGTTTTTAACTCCCGACGCAAAAACTGGTCGATCTGTAGTCTGTACGGCTAGCACGAAAAACTTTCGAGTTCGAATCGTTTGCGTATTCGAATCGTCATCAAGAGATTTAATACGAAAACTACAACAGCGCATTAGTGAACGTGTCGTAAAGTGAACTTAGTATGAGAAATGGTTGCAAGAAACTTATTTTGAAAATCAAAATTGTCACGTTATCGTTTAATTCGAAGGTTGAGTATCGAATTTTGTCGAATACGCAAACGATTCGAAGACGAAAGTTGTTCATGCTAGAGGTACTGTAGTATCGAGCTCTTAAACGGGTGAACCGATTTAGACACGGCTTTCCTTACTTCACTCCTTACTTTTTACTAGCCATTTCACAGCACTCGAGCGACAAAGTCTGAAAGGCGCGCGCGCCGGTCGCACTTGACCCGGTTGGGCTTTCTGCGCATGCGTGTGTGGTGTATGGTAGCCATTACTTTGAAAAAATAACGTATTTTTTCCGTTTCAAAAAAGGAAAATACATTGATTTGATGAATCATCATCGACCAATACTT